AAAATATGCCTGATAAAATGTTGAAAGAGCCATTTATTTATGAAATGTGACATATAAGAAACTTGACTAGGTGTAGATGCGGCTTTAAGTAGTAGTCCGTACAGGCAGTACTAAAGATATCAACTATTTAAGTAGTCGCACATTAAGAGCGGAGCTTCAGAATAATGTGAAATTCTCACTGGGGGTATAGAGGGGATCGATCTCCCCAAGGGTTAAAAAAAACGTTTTAAAGGCCCATTATGTTTTTATTTGTTTTTCTTAAAAGCTTTTTTATTTTGATGTTCCTCTATATTATCCAAAAAATAAACATTGGCTAATTACCTGATTACCTTTTTCATCTGTTGCTTTTTGGCAATGATGAGTACAGTTTTACTGAATTGGTATTGTATATGGAAGTCAAATACTTCAGTGTTTTGACTTTTTTTATGACAAATAATTTCACATTTATCGCTACTTTATTCAGGTAACAAGCATCTTACATTTCTCAGATACCATTATTTTAACATAATAAAATTCATGTTTGCTCTTTCTAAAGAAGTATGTAAGACTTCCCATTAAAAAGCCTCTAGCGAACGGTTGTTACGGAGCTTACAAAACCCCTTAAGTTTGTTGATATGCTTTATAATGTATTTGTAAATATCATCATTTATAGTCCTATCGAAAAACTTGATGTTTCACCAGAACATTGTAATAGAGTTTATTTATAGTTCTTTTGATAAAAAAAACTGCATTTTATTTCATTCCCAACATATTTAAAATGGGGCTCAATATGGCACCAAAAGTTATCAAGTAAATGACCGACAGAACGGGATATTTTTCGCAGCATCTTTTAATTCTAGGAATACACGATTTCTGTACTAGAGTATTTTGAACGGTGGCATAAAAGTGACATTTGTTTTTTTTTGTTATATATATATTTTTTTTGTTTTTCGTACATATTTTTTGTTTGTGTGTCGTACATATATTTTTAGTTTTGCATACATATTCTTTTTTAGTTTGCATACATACTTTATTTTAGTTTTGCATACATATTCTTTTTTAGTTTGCATACATATTCTTTTTAGTTTTTTTTTGTACATATTTTCTTTTTGTTTTTTCGTACATATTTGTACATGACGCCATTTGCAAAGTAGAGGTTTGGATAATTACACCATTTGTAAAACACCATTTTCAAACACTTCGCCATCTGTAAATTACCGTACCTCATTTGCAAATGCGATTTGCAAATACCAATACTAGTATTTTCATTTTCGGAGAAAAATACAACACTTTTTAGTATATATATATATATATATATAAATATATAGTCCGCGGTAACCAAAAAAGGTTCTGCATATGGTCTCCATGTGGTTAACATTTGTCACAAGGTGCCTTAAAATCCTTCATGGGGTTTTGGAGATAAAAAGCGGACAAGAAACCCAAGTCTTTATCCTTTTACCTGAAGGTATGACCCCGACCTTGAGCCGGCACACCTGGCATATAAGTTCTGCACATTATCTGGATGTGCTAAAGACCTAAGTTTCATAATTCTCAATTCTCAGGGGGTGGGGTTGAGTGGTGCATATTCATGGTATAATTACTGATCACCAAACAACAGCCCTTTTATAATTAGAGAAACTGACAGCGAACAGCATGGATCCTGATCAGACTGCGCGGATGCGCAGGCTGGTCTGGATTCATGTTGGCCGCAAACCCATTATAATGGTTTTGTCGTGACACGGCTCATATCTGAAATACGGATATCAATACAACCCTACAATTAATTCACAGAGGTTAATTTGCTGTTATCATACTGGTCCGGAAGTGCAACATAATTGGGTGTTCTTGGTTATGAGCAAGACTAATTTAGTTCAAACATATTTTAAAAAAGGTTTTCCTTTGTTCCTTTGTAAGCCGTTTTAGCAAACGTGATTGATTAGAGCAAATACATGTAAATTGTTTTTTAGATAATAATTCAAATTATTTATCATTATTTGTTTAATCAAATACCGAGACTATGATCATGTTTACATATTAATATCTTATTTCCGTTAAGTATCATTAATGAAATATTTTATAGGAATTATTACTAAAGTGGACAAGGCAGGTGTTTTTCGTCGAACGTTGTTCTCGTGTAAAGAAATTATGTTTTATTGAGAAAAAATTGAGCTATTGCTACATTCTTGTTATCATTTTTGTTGCCGTTCTCGTTACAGATAAACTTTCTTTGAATTTCTTAATCGATTGAAGTTGAATTTGATTATATCGTGCATATTAACTTTATTTTTTTTTGTTTACCACGGATTTGATTAATACTTGAAAAAAATAATGCATAAATAGATAGAAAGAGAAATAAATTAATAAATAAATAAATAAATAAGTAAATTAATAAATAAATAAATGAATAAATAAATAAAAAGAAATACGATACCTATGACTAATTACTTCAATTTTCATAACTTTGTAACTTATGTACATATTTGTTTTATACAAAATAACACTAATTACAATGGCCACAGAATGACCTTCATCAGTTCATGACTTTCACTATCAAAGTAAACTATGGGGTCAAATATGAAATATTCAATAAATTCTGTAAAACAATCCTTCACGGCATTTCTTTTAGCTCACCAGAACCGAAGGTTTAGGATGAGCTATTAGTATCAAAGGGGTATGCTCCGGCGTCCCACGTCCGGTCCGTCGTCATGCGTCAACAATCGTCTTCTTCTCTGACACTGCTTTGCAGATTTACTTCAAATTTGGTCTGTAGCATCCTTGTGACAGCGCTCATGTCATTTCAATTGGCCCCTTTTAGGGGTCAACAGAGCTAAAAATAGAAAAACTTTTAAAGTTAACGTCTATTTCTACAGAAGGTAGTCTAGTACTGGTTTAACTCTCCAGGAACTTTGGTTTGGAAACTACCCACCTATATAACTGAAATACTGTTGGAAAAAATGAAACAAACAAAAAGGACTAATTGATGGATGACCAAACTTTGTCTGTAGCATTCTTAGGTAGTTTTTTTTATCAAGTTTGCTCATATTAATTTGATTAGCCCCTTTTACGGGCCACTAAAGCCAAAAATTGAAAAAAACTTTTGAACATAATTTCCTACTGAAAGAATTGATAGATGATCACCAAACTTTGTAGCATTTTAGGTAGTCTTTTATCAAGTCTGCTAAAGCTTAAATGCCCACTGTAATGGCATTTCTTCCAATTATTGTTTAAACTCATTCTATGCGCAGATTTAATACTAGAAAATATTGACAAAGGATAATTTCAAACACTGAAAAGCAGTTGTTTCTGGTGAGCGACTCAGGGCCATTATGGTCCGTTTGTTTTATTTTCTCCGATGTTTTTAAATTGTCATTGGAAATAAGATCATGGCACCCACTCTGTGATGGTTCTTGTTTGATATCAACCCACTAAGTAAAACATCTTGTCGATTAATTAATAATAATAACTGATTGTTGTTGTCTGTTTTTATGCGACAACAAGACTATATAAAACTGATGTACCAACTTGAAGTAAACTATCCTTTATACATCTGTGGTTAACATCGCTGATTTCTAATAATCGTCTTGGAAATAGAAAAAATATTGAAAATTGTTCATCCCAGTGCTATCTTTTCAAAATTGTGCTATCAATTTGACATCGATTTGACATGTATGGCTAAGATTCTCGCTACAAATAAGTTGCCTCCTTTTACGCCGTTGAGTCACACAAAATGTACATGTATTCCGACAATATTGTGTTTCAAAAAGATGTCCGAAAAAAAAATGTCCGACAATCACATAGAATCAATTTTAGAATACAATTTGACAAATCTGAGATCTAATTATGTCACTTTTTGTATTAATAATAAGTAAAGGACAGGTACATCTCATTTGGGAAGTATTATATTATAGTTATATAATAATTTTATAAGAAAACCCAAATAACATCTTCTTCCCAAGTACGTTTGACTGGTCAAAATGACCATGAGGTCCGTTACAGTGTTTTAAAGAAAATTTTTTAAAGAACATTCCAGTAACACGTTACAGAAAGAAAGCTTGTAGTTTCTGTGTATGCAACATTGTTCCGATGGCATAGTTCTAACACAAATTTTGATCAACATTGCGGTAATATTATTATATAATGCATTCCACTTGACTTGATGTCATTCAAAATCCTATACTCATTTGAAACTGGATAAACCCATAGCTCTGATACTGGTATTTGACATTATATGAGTTGCGTCAAGACAAAACCAACATAGTGAGTTTGCGACCAGCATGGGTCCAGACCAGCCTGCGGATCCGCTCAGTCTGATCAGGATCCATGCTTTTCGCTATCAGTTTCTGTACTTGTAATAGGAATGGTAAGCGAATAGCATAGATCCTGATCAGACGTACTGCGCGGATGGGCAGGCTAGGCTGGTCAGGATCCATGCTGGTCGCAAACGCACTATGTAGGTTTTGTCGTGACGCGGCTCATATTTAAGGACTGAAAAATTAAACATATACATGTAACAACTTTTTGGAACATTTTATTTACATTTACACTTATAAAATCAGATAGATGATATACATAAGGCAGCCAGGCAAGTATATATGTTTCTGATAAAAAGGTCACAGATTATCAATAGAATGAAAGCGGTTGCTTTTCAATCTTTTGATTTTTTTATATAACACAAAGTTGAATCACCCTTCAATCACGCTTCCGACGTGACATTCACGCTTTTGAACCCGATTATAACGCTTTCATGACTGATCTGCCAAACTTCTGAAACGCATTTCGAAAATGTTAACGTCTGTATCATGCCAAAACGGTTCTCTCGAAAGCAGTTCACTGAAAAAGTTTAAGTTAAAAAAGGATAGATAGAATTATTGAAAATAGTGTGTAATTGAGTTTCATTTAGAATCAGCTTTCTTATTTAGAATTGAGAAATTAGAATTTTGACCGATTTAAAATGAACTCTGTTTTAGGTTCATTTATTCCTTAACATTTCTAATGTTTTCTTATTTCTTTTGTCATTTCAGGAAATACAATTTTGGTATAATATCCGTCTCGTAGAATGAGCGAGTGCAACGAAAAAGTGCCAATATGGCGGATTGTGTTACTATTTATAGTATGTCTGTCAGTCTATTTATATCTATACACGAATGCCTTTGATGGAATGAATACGTCATCGGTGTTCCGGGTTGTTGAAGGAGATCTCCAGGTAAGACACCACTAAAATTATTCTTGAAAAGGTATTCATTGCATCATTTGGTACATGTAGCTCTTGAAAATAGTTAATGAGTAGCATTTGTACGAGTGAGAGTAAATTTGGTTTCTGCATTATAACAGTTTCATTATCATATCACTTAAACAGAACTTGTATCACCAAGTATGGTGATATATGATTTCATTATCATCTCGGAAGAGTAGTAACGTTATTTAACACACTTGCACGTAAATAGATTAAAATGTTCCGAATATTATATTTTGCTCCTGTATTTGAATAGGGTTTTACCGTTTAGCAATGAATGCTTGCATGTACCATTCACTTTAAATTAAATATACAAATAGGCATTTTGCAATAATTCTTGTTTTATTTAAGTTGATATTTATTAGACGCGTGCACGCGCCGTCTAGTAGATATGCATTTTTAGACTTGATTTTGTGCAAACAGAATCACATTGTTTTCAAATTTTCCAATGAAAATAGCTTTTCTGGTGTTCAATATGTCACAGAGCTTTAAGGGATTAAAATAAAGGTTTCACTGAAGTGATAGTGTGATGTTGAATATCATATTCTTTTTATAATTATCTTAATTTATCTAGCTAATAAATGACGTGTCAATCACAGGTGCTCGTCCAGTCTTGGTGCCCATATAAAAAAATGAAGTTTTTAAAAAAAAAATTGAAAAAAAAAAATTTTGAAAAAAAAAAAACCAACATCAAAATAACTATTTTGGGTTGAGTTTAAGAAAAAAAAAGAAATTTTTTCCCCCCCCTATATACCATTACTACGAAAAGGTCACCTAGTCGCCGTAACGCTACGGAGCTTTACTAGGACACACTGTGGAACAACCACAATGTCGAGTTCTGTAACAATAAAAGCTATTTTGCTACTCTTTACACATTGTGCATTTAGAAAATTGTTAACATTCTTATTGTACCTTACATACAATCTTAAATAACTTACATTTAAACTCGGACACTCCAATTTGTTAAAATTTTGCAAAACAACAGTGATTGTCGGCCATTTTGTCGAAATCGAAAGTACAAAACTAAACCGTAATGTTTCGCTGTTCTGGTCCCCTACGACAACGTTCGCTGAATAATAGACAACAGTAACCAATAAATTTATGGTTACCGTTGTCTACTGTTGCTCGCACGTAGTCGTAGGAAACCAGGAGAGCGGACCAGTACGATGTATGTTTTGTACTTTCGTATTTCACAAAATGGCCGACCATCAACGGAATTTTGCAAGATTTTAACAAATTGGAGTGTCCGAGTTAAAATGTAAGTTATTTAAGATTGTAAAGCTTCATAGCGTTACGGCGACTAGGTGACCTTTTCGTAGTAATGGTATATAGGAATTTTTTTTTTCCAAATATTTTTTTTCTTTAACTCAACCCAAAATAGTTATTTTGATGTTTTTTTTTTCAAAATTTGTTTTTTTCATTTTTTTTTTTTACTTCATTTTTTTTTTATATGGGCACCAAGACTGGACGAGCACCTGTGGTGCCAATGACCCAGTCTATAGTCGATACCGGACTGAAGTACTCAGTGTCACTCACTTCATTTGCTCCGCCTCTGTTGAAGTTCGTCTCCGCCTTAAATTGCCGCCAAATTCAATCATTCGAACATTATGCAATTCGCACCAATATTTAAATGGACACATTCTCGGCACATATTGTCTTGAATTTATTTTAAGTTTACCATTTCAATTTCACGTGTAATCCAATTTATTTTGCTTCGACCAAACGTTTCGACAATCTTTGTCGCAACAGACAAACATTTCAGAATTTCAGACACATACCAAAACATCGAGAAAAAAATAATTAGTGCTTCGGATATTCAACTGTAATAGAGAACGATTTTCAATTCTGATTTTGTACTTTACCTGTGACTGTTCACATCATTTGGCGGCGTCTTTGATATGCAGCATCAACATTTAACTTGTCTTTATAAAACATGCAATTTAATACATGGCTTTGTTTTCTTTCAAACAATACTCATTCGGTCAAATTTAGTCACATGTCAGGGTCATTTGATTAACGTATAAACTTAATATGCATGCATTGCTTATGATGTTACCAAAAACAATAAGCGTTAATTTAAGTAATTGACTAATAAGTATTTGTAGTGTGTTTGTAATGAGGTCACTTGGTCATGAATAAGGTATCTGAGGCTAAGAAGTAAAGTTTTCGCCACTATTCTTTATCTGTCGGCTTATAATCATTCTTATCATGCACTATAGTATTTCTTGAGTTAAAGGTTAAGTGAAGCTCAAATAAAGATTTACCAGGTTTTTTTCGCATATCGGCATGTTTGACACATATTTAACAGTCTCATATATTAGTATACCTTATATGTGTACTTCTACCTAAAGACCTACATATTTCAGTTACGGACGATGTGGCAAAGTGGGCTACATAAGTTTCGCATTCAATTCGGTGCACAAAACTATGAAAATTGTATAAGCTACTGAGCCTAATCTCAAAACGAATTTGATTTTTACATTTACAAGTTGTATTGCAATTGGACTAATGTGAGCGACTGGGGTCCATCATTAACCTGTTTGAAAAGTTATGAATATGCATGATTAGATAATGAATATCACACATTTGATATTGGCAATACACCCGAACCTTTATTTTCAATCATAAATGAACAATTCGTGTTCTCCGTGAAAAAAAATATGTAAGAAATTGACAGTTGCATGTATATGGCATTTAATAACAAACAAATGGTAAGTTGGTCCCGAAAATCGATAGCTCTATCATATTTGCCGAAGAGCATGGCTTTTGTCCGCTCAAATTCTTCTAGTGCATTTAAAGATCAATTTAGCAAATGCGATCCTTTTAATATACGTAAATGTAAAGATGAAATTACATGTATAATTCAAAAAGAAAATGATGCTTGTAAAACGAATAATAAAAAAGAAAATCTCTAACTAAGCAAGTTCAAATCTCTCTCAGAACAAAGCTACACATTTGAAACGTATCGGACCCACACTGACATTTTCAATTAGACCCTATATAATTTATGGACATTATTCAACACCAAACGAATGATAAACAGGTGGCGATTCAAAATTATAAATCATATCATTCACACCTTTAAGTTACTTAGTTTGTTTGCAATGCTCTTGTGGAATCTAATGTTTTCAAGATTTATATGTCCTTTACAGCTTTATGACTTCATCAGCGTGTGACAGTTGTAAAACAAACTCGCCATATACGAACTTCACCTCAATATTTCCATTTGAGTACGTCGTCTCCAGGTTTTCCGTTTCCTTGTCCGTAGGGCCATTAACTTAAACTCTTTTATGATTGATGTTTCCATACATATTAAGTTCATGATAGGATAGGTACAATTTTCCATTGTGACAGCGGTCAATGAGCACTTAAACGTACAGTTACCTCAGACAATATGAAAAAGAAGGTAGCCCTTAAAAGAGCAGTTAATTGGTGCTAACCAAAGGGCTAGCCTTTCAAGCAGTTATGTCGTCTCATATATCCTAGTACTTTTCCTCGTCGTCTCAGTCTATTTTGTACGAGCTACTATCTAAGGCTTCAGTCAGGATATCGCAAGCTTGTCTTCAGTTACAAGTTCTGGTCCTTATTGCTTTCGCCTTCCCGAATTCTTCAAATCTTCTTCATCGACATGCAGGTACCAATGGGAAGACAAAGACCTGAAAATGATTGTAAAACAATATATTTTAATGTCCGGCAAAAAAGACTGCGGATGGTGATCCTACTACATGAATGGAGGTTTTTATCGTCTGTTTTGTTGTCATGTAGTATTTTGTTGTCATGTGGAATTGAATGTTCCATTCTAATTGGCTTAGGGCAGGCGGTGTACAGGTAGAAATGGTCAAATCTAGTCTATTGTACTGTATGAACGTTGACAGTAATACTTTTTGCATTGCTACAGTTATGATGAATTACTCATTATTTATGTTTGTTTCGTGGTATATTTCAGGCTGTTTGGAAAGACAAGTTTGGATCTGTTTCTTATTACCTTAAACTAATGGAACAATCTGACAAGAGCCTAAAAATAGAAGTATCTGCCTCGCAATCGAAAACAACTGCTACTGCTGCTGCAGCTGCTGCTGCGAGTCATCCGACAAGTACTAAAACGAAGCCAAAGGTTGATGAATCTACCCAAATAAATTCTACACTGCTGGAAAAATTTAAGTCTGATCTTCTAGCAAATAAGTCAGAACCTTTACTTACTCTTTTCACTTCATGGAATGATAGCCCGGAAAAATATTTGGTTCATAATTTAACGTTACATAATTGGGTGATGTTGCGCCCGTTTGTTATCCCTGTGATATTTACAAACGAGACTTCAGTCGCTGAAGACTGTGCTAGAAATGGATTCGAGGTTAGGCATATAAGTGCGGCAGCTGCAGACGGTATTCCAGTATTAAAATATATGTACAAAGACGCGATGGATAATTATAATTCTACGTTTTACGCGTACAGTAATGGCGACATTTTGTATACTGAAACGCTCATAAAGACTTTACTTCTTCTGAGAAATTCTACATTAGATTTAGATAAACCTGCAATGATTGTCGGCCAGAGAAGTAACGTCGACAACGTCACTGAATCCGAAGGATCTACTTGGGGCAATATCACAAGAATAGCGAAGGAACGCGGTAAACTTTTTACCGGCTGGGCAGAGGATTATTTTATTACTACGCGCTCATTTCCGTGGAAGGATATAGCGGAAGTTGTAATAGGGCGGAGAGCATACGATAATTGGTTAGTGTTTAATTCTCGGAAATCGAAACATGTTGTGATTGATGGTACAAAGACGATACTTGCAGTTCATCAGACGACAAAAGCAGGTAATTTTGAAGGCCATGGTCACAAAAATAGAGACTATAATCATAATTTACTAGTGAAAATGTATAAGCGTATCAAATATAACGCCGGTGTTATAGAATGCATAGAAAAGTATACAAATTACGAAAACGAGGAATTAGTTATGAAATCCAGGACAGTTCACAAAGCATGCGCAGTTTGAGTGTGCATTCTTTAGATAAACAATGCAGGACAAATTATGAGATAACTGCCATAGTTCATGGACCAATAGCTTCACATCAGGAACCATGTAGTTATTAATGATGTACAAAAACATGCGGGCATGTGCTACAACGATGATATATCGTCTGCATTGAAAGTTAAATCATTCTATAAGCTCGAATTATAATAATATGAATTGCTGCTTCCAGTTTGAAAATGCCATGATTTTTTTAACAACTGTGCCAATTTCCTTGAATCTAGTAACTATATCAGACGGAAATGGTAAAGCAAGAAATTAAAAGCAATAATGCTCGCATCGTGATGGTTATCTGTTTTGTTTTAGATGAAAGCGGGATAATTTGTACTATTGCTATCTGTCGTCTGCTTTGTCATTTCATTCCACATCTTAATTGTAGATTCTAATTTGTTATATTTTTGTTTTGTCTTAAATATTTTGTTGTGCAAATTTTATCTCGTTTTGTTCAGATTCTTAAATAATATACATTCCATTTAAATAGAAGCATTCATTATACATAGATAATTATATTCTTCAACATTTTTCTTAAATCATCAATGTTATCCATCAGGGTCTTTCAAATACAGTTCTATTTAAAAGACCCTTTTTCCTCGCACCATATCAACTTCATATTCTCTCATTAATTAAACCAACTGTCCAATTACTTTTATATATCACTCCCCATATACTATCTATATCAGTATATGCCTTTAGATATGCGACGGTAAACGGACATTGGTTTAATCATTGATTCAGGATCGTGCTCATGACTTAATGACCAAGCGCTACATATAAGGTATTTTCCGTCCGTCAAGTTTTAGGGGTCTGCTACCTTGAACATAAACATATTGGATGACGTCATACCTGCCATGGTATCTATTTAAAGGCACATTATGCCTCAGAAATTCATATTTCGAATTCTTCGAAATGTCAAACATTTGTAATGTTATAAAAATGGATTCAGAGCAATTATAGATGTTTAAAAATTAAAGAAAGTAGGGCTGAACGTGCAATTATGTGTCACAATGGAAGCAAAATGCAAACAAAGTTGTACATGTATTGCACTTCCATACAAAATACTTATTCACTATAATTATAACATTTGCCAACAGAACAAAAGTAGCAAAAAAAAATAATAATACATACGGTAAACGAGTATTTTTCTGAAACTGTAATCAAGATAATAATAATAATAATAATAATAATAATAATAATGATAATAATAATAATAATAATAATAATGATGATGATAATAATAATAATAATAATAATAATAATGATTTTTATAATTAAAAATGATAGCATTTCTGAGGCATAATGGGCCTTTTATATAACTAACGTTTTTAATTGCTGGACAAATACGAGCGAAAGCTGCCAATGATTATGAAACTTTAAGGTTTCAATGTAGTTTTTAATTTTTATTATATTTTGCAAGAAAAAGCAAGATGCTTAGGTTAATTTTAAATCGCTATCATTTACATTATTATTCAATTTTTACTCCATTTTGTAGGAGCAGCAAAATCGCATTTTATGTTTACCTCTAGATTATTATTTTTAAATATTTATCTTAACTGAGCAATTATTGCTACACTAATCATTAATTTACTGCACATATGATAGTTCATTGGTATACAATGGGCACATTTTGCACGTACATTTGTATTTCAAATATTGATAAAAACGATAGAAATTAATCAAATTATCATTTTGGATATTCTTGTAAAATTTCACTTGAAAAAAAATGTTGATAAAGTTCTAAGTGATTTAGTATGAACATTTGGCAATGACGGGAACAATTTAATTATTATCTATTATATGAATATACATTACATGTAATATCGAATCATGTGCAATTACATCCATTTGTAATTCTTCAGTGGTTAGTTTTTATATCTGATGCTTAATACTGTCAACATAATTATTCATAATATTACAGACCTTAGGGATCCTATGTAGACCAATTAAAAAACTTCGATTATATTAAGACAATATTACCGTTTTTTTTATTATTATTTTTGTCATCATATTTATAACATTAGGCTGTTGCAAATTCGTGAATTTTGTGATATATGTGTGTACTTTAATAAAAGCAATACTATAGAATAAAAAGACTGTATAAAAAGGTTATATGACCATTTATAAATAGTTATTTTCCGTATAATCGTTAATAAAGGACATAAAACCAGCCAAGTTTTTTTTTCACCTTGAAATATTTAATATTTTTTTCATTGTTTCGTATAATGATGCAAAATAATAATATATATGTGCTTCCTTTGATCATATACATTTTTACATACAACAGAGTTTAAATCCATTTATTGTTTCATCTGAATTAAATATAGTTTGGATACAGTGAAATTATATTTTGATACTGTGAAACTATCAAATTTTAATATAGTTTCATTGTAAAATCGGTAAAATATTAACATTTATGGTCAATAGACTTTTAGAGAAAAACAACAGTTTTTGTACATATAAAAAAGTATTCACAACGAACGCTACTGGTCCAAAACATATTGTTCCTTTTCTCTGAAGTCATAGGTTTATTAAAATTGTTGTACCGGGTACCATGAGCATTGGCCTAAACATCAATTTAGAATTTCAGATCTCTGCACATTGGACAACATAACACAAAATGGTTTTCAATTACATTTTAATTATGGTACACAATGTACAATTTCTATTTACATGTACTCTATCAGTATTGTTATGTGTTTCTCTTGCCGTTGATTATAAATCGTGTGGACCAAAGTTAATATAATTTTATGAAATCCATTTTTTTAAATGCTGCTATATGATACAGTTCTCCATCATTAAAGTGACAAAATGTCATAATATGTGATAGATTAGAGTGATATATTCGTTTGTTTGTTTTTGTTGATAATAAATGCATTGCCTATTGTTAAATGTTGCCATATTTTACACGTGAATAGATGCTAATATAACTGCCTATGGTGGTGAGATATTTTAGCACTAGTGATTTACAATAATATATGTATATTATCAACAAAGTTGGTAATATCGATTTTAGTTGTACTAGATGTTCTTATATATACATTATGTGAAAATCAGAAGGAAATATTAAGTTCCAATACTGCATTGTATATTGCTAGGAAATGTCAGCTCGCGTTGTTATTATAAAGTTCGTATGTACATATGTTCTCAGATACAGCATCTTGTATATGTGGCATGGTCATGTTTTTATAATTTTCTCGTGCATGCGGAGACGCGAAAATGTGAAAAAGTCATACATATATTTTAAAAATTTGAATTTGTTCTGCAGCTTATATATGACTTTATTAACATTAAATCTGTTGAACCGTATGTATTCGGGCTAAATATTTCCTGAAAGCTTTATCAGAAATTATTTGAAGATTTTTCAGTATTGTTATTTCAATATTATTGTATTGCTAAGTTAGTTACAGTCGAGATAACTCTGATAAATAAAGTTATTTCCAAAAATTAGCAAGTAATTGGGAAAGGAAATTATTTTTTTTTTGCTTTTATTGTTGTTTTGCTTTTTATATAAAAGTTTTTTAAAAATATTAATTGTAGTAAAATATGAAATAATTTTATAATTGTTTAAGTATTTGGTATGCTACTCAGAAATGTGTGCAAAAATATTGGTGTGTCTATAGCTTTGAAGAAATGACTAATTTTTACATAATTCCATTTATCCTTATTTATACAAAATACAAACCGATTTTCAGTTAGCTTTACCCAAGTATCCAACTGTGTAAGAAAGTACAACAATGGCAAATATACAGTTCAGAAAAAGGTTGGAACATTTTCCAAAATTGTGCATGTTTTTCGTTGTATCATGTAGGTTGTATTTTATTTGCTATGACTCACGTGCTGTTTAATTGACATATTTGAGCCGTGTCACGACAAAACCAACATAGTGGGTTTGCGACCAGCATGCGCATCCGCGCAGTCTGATCAGGATCCATGCTGTTCGCTATTACTTTCTCTACTTGTTATACGGTCCGTTAGCGTACAGCATGGATCCTGATCAGACTGCGCGGATGCGCAGGCTGGTCTGGATCCATGCTGGTCGCAAACCCGTTATGTTGGTTTTGTCGTGACGCGGCTCATTTTAAGTTTACAGATCTCAATGCAAAATGCTATAAATATATAATGTAATAAACAAAGTCTTCGATACAGTAAATAAACAATGTCTTATTATATTTGCTTTGTCTTACATTTTTATCTTTTTCTTTCATTTATATGATTATACTATTGCCATACACTAGAACCACCAGGCAAACTATATGTGTAATATCATCAAAAAAGTTTATCCATGGAAGTTCTTTGACTTTGAGGTGGTAGATTTTCACTTAAACAGACACCACCGAGGGGTTTTTTTTAAACTTTTTTTGACATGACAGGACTGGGACCATTTTTTTCAAGACTTTCTTGTTTACCATTTGGTGTAGGTCTGGACTAAGTAACGATGTGCAAAATTTCCAGATTATTCCCTCACTCTACTTACTCAGAGTAATAATTTGTATTATGCAAAATCACCACAAGTATATTTCTATTATATTTACCTTGCTTTTCCACTTTCAGTGTATTACTCGATATGTAGAACTTGAAAGTTTGATTGTTTGGGCTTTTTTACCTCAATGGAGCTCATTTTCACATTTCAAGCCTTAGTTTAACGCCATTAATACCAGATTTTCCATAAAAAGCTTATTTGAACATTGTAAGAATTGTAAGAATGGTCCATATCCTGTTTTTTTGTTTCATTTGATTTTATTGATTACGTTGTTTTTTCTTACTCTCCTGAATTTCTTTCACCTTAACAAGATTTAAATTGATAATATTGATTGGTAACACTAAGTTTTTGTGATCCGAGCTAGGCTATGTTTCCATTCTGCCCACAGCTTGACGGGGATACAAGCAATATCAATAGGTTATAATCAATATCATACTCGATTGGAACGGATATCCTGTGAACCTTATAATTAAAATAGATTTTATCTTTTAATATAATAGCGTTTTTGTGTTTATTACGATGTTGTATATTGCTCTCTTTTAAGACCTTTTAAAACAGAAACGATTTTTATCCGCTCTCCTACGTTTTAATTAGAAATATTCGAATGGTTTTAGTTTTTAAATTGATAAACTAATACTCCAGTTTCTGAAGGGGGTTTCTGTGTGCAAGAAACATTAGTGCAAGAAACATTACAAATACATACTAAAACTCCATTTATGTTATATATTCGATACAAAATAATGCATTAAAAGAACACATGCAGCTGTTTTAACAATTTAAATTACATTTATTTCATGACCCTTGTACCAATAGATAGGTCCGAATACTACCGGAGACCGAAAGTAAAAAAGAGGGCCAGACGGCCCTGGATCGCTCATCTGAGAAATAGGTTAAACGGTCAAAGTGGAGCCCCTTTTCACCCAAGAAATAATAGCGAAAATTAAAACATCGCAAAAAACACTGGATTTACAGTACATATAAGAAAAATCAATGACCCCGGAGTCGGGCCAATTTTGACCCTAGGAGTTTTATTTCAACAAAAATGGTAGATATACACTAGAACACGCTTCACGCTAAGTATCTAAGCTCTTACTCTTTTGGATTTTCACAAAAAGATTTTTCAAGTTTCTACTATATACATGTATATATAAGGGCGGGGTCAATTTTGACCTTTGGCATTTATTTGAACAAACTTGGTAGACATCCACTAGAAGATGTTTCATGCCAAATATCTAGGTTCTGGCTCTTTTGGAATACCACAAGAAGATTTTTTTTGTTTTTTACTATTTACATATTAGGAAAATCAATGACACCTGAGGCGGGGCCAATTTTGACCATAGGGCATTCATTTGAAAAAAAATTGGTAGACATCCACTAGAAAATGCCAAATAGCTAATCTGTAGCGCTTTTGGATTGTCACAAGAAGATTTAATAGTATATACTCTATATACATCAGGAGAATCAATGACCCCTTGGGCGGGGCCAATGTTGATCCTAGGGCTTTTATTTGAGAAAACTTGGTATGGCATCCACTAGAAGATGTTTCATGCCAATTATCTAAGCTTTAGCTCTTTCATTTTTAACAAGAAGATTTTTTTTAATCTTTCGGTTGCAAGGGCAGCCAGAGTTATTCATTGAATTTAATTCTTTGAACAACTTTGGTAGAGCTTCAGGCAAGGAACATCCCTGCAAAGTTTCAAAAATTTGGCCATGTGGTTTAAGAGGAGAAATTATGTACGCACGGACGACGGGCCGTCACAAAAGCTCACCTGGAGTACATTGTCCTCAGGTGAGCTAAAAAGCCTGCCACCAGTTTAAAGACGTACAGTATTAATTAGGCTCCATACGGATGGTACCTCGATTGTATTATCTTGCATTTGAATTCCCGTACAATTGGAATGGCTTGTTCCAATTTTGAAGCAGGGTAAACCAATTACATAAATCCTGGAGGTAATGGGTTAAAGTCTCTTGTTAGGGATTTAAATTTGAGCATAAGAAAGGTTCCAATACAGACGTGACTGGGTTATACGGTAATTAAGGCACCTTCAGCCTTTCTCATCAGTCGCAACCATACCTCAAACATTGGCTTATAACTCAGGCTCTATCGATTTTCATTTCAAATTTTGTCGTTTTGATTTACAAACCGTTTTAACCTCAAAAAATTAACTCCCTAAAACAACTAAAATGACAAATCCCATTTTCACGATGGATTAATTGAAGTACACCTGATCAAATAAATAATTCGAAAATTCTGCCCCTATATTCAAAAACTGCAACTTTATATTTACACAGGCTTTGCAAATTCCAATATAAAATCTCACAAATCATCATCAGCTCTAATAAAGATATATAAATGCATAATATATAAGCACGGGGTGATAAAGTCCACAGGATGTTCTCACTCTCTCATAAATTTGGGCGTGGCCAATGATAATCAAATATGGGCTGCGTTAACATACAGATTTCATGATTTGTATAAAGATATAATTGCAATTTTTGTTGTTTTTTCCCTTTAAGGTTCTATTCCTCCATACGAATCAACATTTTTCTCAATTCAAACTTTGGGGAAAAAACACCCTTAACCTGTTGGGGCCGAGAGGGATTAGCATTTCGTCGCCTTAGTGCAATAATTGACGAACTCATATTAAATTAAGAAGGACTTATTCCATTATTGCACTAAGGTTTCATCAGTATAGAGCCAGCAGGCCAGTCATCACATACTGCTTGTAGCACTTTTTTCTAATAAAATCATTTGATCTGTGTCATGACAAAACCAACATAATGGGTTTGCGACCAGCATAGATCAAGACCAGCCTGAGCATCCGCGCAGTCCGATCAGGATCCATGCTGTTCGTTATCAGTTTCTCTACTTGTAATAGAGTTTGTAAGCGAACAGCATAGATCCTGATCAGACTACGCGGATGCGCAGGCTGGTCTGGATCCATGCAGGTCGCAACCCATTATGTTGGTTTTGTCGTGACACGGCTCATTTAATTTTCAAATGCACTGTTCTAACAAATCTATACCAGAAATTAAATATCTGTATAGATCTATATGCACGATACATGGGGACTATAGTTATACGTGTTACGAATTATTCGTGCATGTCCTTATAAGCACACCGGTGTTATACTATATTGTAACAACGCTAGTCAGACAGTGAGGTCTATTTTTGCATATTTTTACACAGATAGGAAAAGTAGGTGAATAATCTTAGTACATTATGTCAGGTTATCATTACTTGTACCTTTATGATTCACAATCTTTTCTTTTTATTAACGAAAATCAGCACGACTTGTGCACGAGATGTACTATAAAAATTTACATCATTGTACATTGCACAGAAAATGCTATTACACAAGTCGATTAAACAAAGTTTGAAATTAAAAAGGCAAACTCTTCCGTTGTTTTACTTATTTTTTTGCGCAAGAAAATTATCATATCATAATTGAGAAAAGGTAAATATGGCTGATTACACCATTCTAAACACATAGATCCGCTCCCTGTAACACTTTATTATCAAACTATGTCATATCGATGTAGAAACATAGAAACGCTCTCGCTTATAATACATAACATAAAACGTTCAGGAATCTTGCGTTAGATTTCCATTGCCCGTCCGACTGGTCGTCCGTCCCGAAATTGTCCGTCATGAAATTGAATGAAGTATAAAACTAAAACTATTTAAGTTTTGGACATAAAATTTCATATGTATTTACATCTCATTAAGTAATGTTCTGTCTAAGAATCATTTATAACTCTGTTCGTCCGCGTGTCTGTCGCGAAATTGGACGTCAAGGAATTGAAGGTGCAACAAAAACATCAGTTTGTAACCTAAATCTTCATATCTGGTTACATATCATTGAGAAGTGCTGTGCCTTAGAACAATAACTCTCTTTTGCAAAAATCATTGAGTTATTGCCCTTTGCATTTTTCAGACGTATTTATTTCTTGATTGACAGATCACATAGGCAAAGGGCATTGTATTAGAACCATACTCTTCTTTTGCAAAATTTTGGAGTTATTGCCCATTTTTAGCTCACCTGTCACAAAGTGACAGGCTGAGCTTTTGTGATCGCTTTTCGTCCGGCGTCCGTAAACTTTTACTTTAAATGACATCTCCTCATCAACCACTAAGCCAATTTCATCCAAACTTCACAGGAATGTTCCTTTGGTGGTCACCTTTAAAATCTTTTCAAAGAATTTAATTCCATGCAGAACTCTGGTTACCTGGCAACCGAAAGAAAAAAAAATAAATATCTTCTTTTAAAAAACCCAAAGAGCTAGAGCTTAGATATTTGGCATGAAACATCTTCTAGTGTCTGCCAAGTTTGTTCAAATAAAAGCCCTGGGGTCAAAATTGGCCCCGCCCCAGGGGGTCATTGATTTTCACTATATGCATATAGTAAAAACTTAAAAAATCTTCTTTTAAAGAACCCAAAGCGCTAGAGCTAAGATATTTAGACTGAAACATCTTCTAATGAGTGTCTACCAAGTTTGTTCAAATAAAAGCCCTGGGGTCAAAATTGGCCCCGCCCCACGGGGTCATTGATTTTCACTATATGCATATAGTAAAAACTTAAAAAGTCTTCTTTTAAAGAACCCAAAGAGCTATAGCTAAGATATTTAGCATGAAACATGTTCCAAAGGGTGTCTACAAAGTTTGTTCAAATAAAAGCCCTGGGGTCAAAATTGGCCCCTGCCCGGGGGTCATTGATTTTCCTTATATGTGTATAGCAAAAAAATAAAAAAATTTTTTTTGAAAAAACCCAAATAGCTAGAGTTAAGATATTAAGCATGAAACATCTTCTAGTGAGTGTCTACAAAGTTTGTTCAAATAAAAGCCCTGGGGTCAAAATTGGCCCCGCCCCGGGGGTCATTGATTTTCCTTATATGTGTATGGCAAAAACTTAAAAATCTTCTTTGAAAAAAACCCAAATAGCTAGAATTTAGATATTAAGCATGAAACATCTTCTAGTAAGTGTCTACAAAGTTTGCTCAAATAAAAGCCCTGGGGTCAAAACTGGCCCCACCCCAGAGATGTCATTGATTTTAATTATATGTGTATAGTAAAAACTTAAAAAATCTTCTTTTAAAAACCCAATGAGCTAGAGGTAAGATGTTTAACATGAAACATCTTCTTGTGGGTGTCTACCCAGTTTGTTCAAATAAAAGCTCTTGGGTTAAAATTGGCCCTGCCGGGGGGGGGGGGGGAAGAGTGCAGAGGTCATTAAACTTAACATCATGAGACATCTTCTAATGGGTGTCTTCCAAGTTTGTTCAATTAAAAGCCCTGGGGTTAAAACTGGCCCTGCTCCATGGGCCTATATACAGGTGAGCGACCTCTTGTTCATACTTAAATTTAGTTCAGGGGGTGTAGCTCATACAGTATTGGAAATATCAATTTGAAAATTCACAGCTGTTTTCAAAGCACTCTGTATAAATACCATAACTCTTTCATATAATTTTGGAGTCATTGCCCTTTGAAATTTTGAAAACTTCATAAAATGATAGATGTAACTAAATAAAATAGAACTACATTGCCTAAGAACCATAATTCCTTTTTGCATTATTTAAGTCTTACCCCCCCCCCTCCTCTGCTATTTTTCCATAAAAATTTTTTGTGGGCCAAAAATCTTGAAATATTTTAGATTTCAACATTCAAATGTCATTAAAGAAGAGGAACAGTATCACTTCAAATAAATATAACGTTTATATTCCCAGGCATAATACTATGAAGCTTCATTAAAGTGATTTTATTCATTTGATGGGGGATTTCAATTCAACAAATTTGTTTACATTGCTTCCAGGACAGACCTTGATCTTGCCCTTTTAAATCGAAAGGTGTTATCATTCCAATGAGCATGCCAACACAAATATTTTTCTATATGTTTACCTGTGTTGGGGTTTTCTTCTGCTGAATATAATTTATCATTAGTGAATTTTATAAGGTCTGAGGAATAGTGTCCTAGCAACAACCTTAAAATGCAACATAAATGTATATGCATTACATAAACTCTTAGGCGACTGACAGCCAGTGAATCTATCCATGTGACCAGTGCAGAGCAAGATCTGTGCCGTCTCATCATGGTCTGCATTGTTCACTGTTGAGTCAATACATATAAAAACAGTTTCCCTAACAATGATAAATGGTTTTGTCGGACAAGTCCATTTCAGATATTTAGCATGGTTAGGCTTAATATCGATGATATCATAGATAGTCAATTTTCTGCTTTGTATAAATGCTGCTTGTAATATAATACACCATTTAAAAGCCTTTGTACCTACTACCACTATCAAAACCAAGCCCTAAACAAAGTTTTATGTACCACTATCAAAACCAAGCCCTGAACAAAGTTTTATTTGCCCTTTTTATTTACTCAAGTTTTATCCATTAACAGTATGATAAGCTTATCAACAGAACTATATTTTCAAGGTCACCACACTTCAGAAGTACTTTGTAACTATGTTACGATGTCACTACAAGTGCTATCATTTCACACACAGGTCAAATACGTAAATCTAAACCAGACAAAGTCATCTAGTTTGGGTCACAATTTTTACACTTCCTTGATATCCTTTTATCTTTGTTGATAGTGACACAGTCATTCAGTGCTTTTAAAATTCTACTTCCTGTTTCTATTTATGTCTTTACTCACATATCTAAAAGATGATAAAATCTAGTTTACTAAGGCAACTTTTGATAACAGTTCACTTTTACTTGGCTTTTGATAACAATTTAGGGATATTTGGGATTCCACAACTTTGTGGCATCCAGTTTGGAAGACTTAATTCTAAGTCCTTGTTTCTTATTTTCAAGTTTTTATTTTCTTTGCAGGAGGCTCTTCTGACTTATCTTCTTCATTACTAGCAGCAGGAACACTGAATTCAGGAATCTGGAAAGAGATGTAAAAATTGGCATCAAAATTTCAAAAGCAGCAAATTGAATTCCTTTAGTAACTGTTAACAATGATTATGTCAGCAATAAAGGACCACGTCAGTCTGTACATCAGTGCAGATTATCTATCCTCTGTGATGTTGATACCTATAGCTCAATTTTTGTGTATTTTGATAATGAAATCCCTTTTACTTTGAATGGATTGTTCCGAATTGAAAGTTTAACAAGTCTATTTCAAAATCTCAGTAGGTTATGAGTAAATATATCAATACTGGCAATCTGCAATACATTTCCAGTAAGCTATTATCTTCTTTCATAATTTTGTGAATAAACACATTTTTTTTTAAATACATGTATATATATATATTATTTTAAACTTGTCTCTAAATGAAGCTGGAACTTTATTTGACCCACCCTTTAGTGGTGTTGCAAAAGGAAACATGGTTTAACCTTACACCTACTGGCTGCAACATGTTCTATCAATCCAACCACTGCAGACCATAAGTTAGTACATCTGCACCATCTGATAATGGTTGCAATGTCCTCTATTCAGTCAATACATATGTTTAAAATCTTCCTTGAAAACGAATTTCTTATCAAAATAAGGATTAAACATTAGTAGAGCTCTAACCTGTGACCTTTTAGTAGGTGAGAGGCAGAAACCTTAACCACTAACCTAAACTACAATACCTTTGCCTCAGGTAAATTGTGAGGCCATCTGACAATTCTAAGGTCTTGCACTGATCTATTATACATCAGTAAAAGTTTTTAGCTTTTTTCCTGAATTTCAGATTTTTCTTACTCCCAAGAGCTCTCTTTTTCAATATAAAACTTAAGGAAAATGGTATGAAAATATGTCTCAATTCAGGGCTTTCAGATGTTATATGACATTTTAAGTTTCAACCATGATAATACTGTTAACCTACCTCAAATTTTCTTATACCCTCTTAATAACAGGCTGTTTCAAACTGGAATGTGGACAAGTCCATTATGGAAATTCAGGAGGGTTAAGGGTGAAAAAAAAGAAAGTAGTATAGGATAAATTGCTTTACTTACGCTAGGCTCGACTAGTCTGATTTGAAGTTTTAAATGTTGGACATTAGATCTATCTATACTAATCTGTATGACAACACGATCAAACACGTGCAGTGTCACCGGACCACAACTCTGTGTATTCTCCTACAATATAAAACAAACAAATAACACAATATTGCTACACAAACAACACTGTGTAAACCTTCTGTGTACTCTTCAACAGTTCCTAATTATATGCATGTTTATATACCATCTGTTAATCATAACCCTAATTATACATGTATGCAAATGAATCTTAAATTTTCAAACAAACACACCCATCATAAAAGTCAAGCTATTTAAATGTAAAGGACTGAAAAATTTTTATTATAATAATCAAACTAACAAGAACAAAGGATGCAGTGTTAACACTGGTCTGTTAAAAATTCAAAAATAAAAAGGGGCGTAACTCCAATAATATTGCTTTTAGAATTATGCCCAATGCATCTTGTCAAAGCAAGTATTCATGTTGATAACTTTTAAAATGACTTTTTCTTCCAAACAGACAAGCTAAAAATCAAACACATTGTTAACTACATGTACATGCTTATGCACTATTCAATTGTAACAAAAGCCCTTCCCCTCCCATAGAATAGCAGGGACTTTTTATCTATTTCCAATCCCCTGAAAAAAACTCGAGCTAAAAGCATGGCTCTAGGATTTTGACATATCCTTGGATATTTTGGTGCTAAAACAAATCCAGCGCATTGAACCAGTGGAGCAGGGATGCTTGAAAGGTAAACATTTGACTATCCCTGTCATTCCATTTGGGTGAGTGGACTGTGCCTGAAAATTATTGACAAAATACAATTATTCCCAATATACATACATCTTCATTGAACACAAAAGTTGGTCCTTTCTTACGGCCATCTACATTAAGATATAGTGTCGCTTCCAGGCCGTACTTGGGTATTAGGATCTGTACGGCATTCTTCCTCACAAACAAAATGTATCCCTCCTCGTCCACGACCCTCTTTTTGAAGAATAACTGCAAAAATACAAATAAATCTATTATACACTTTCTACTTTCTGACCAAGCTGCATAAATATTAACAAGTCATTTTTTTTCAATAAAATGCACTTTATAAATATATATAAAACTACTGACTATTTCAAATAGATTTTCTATAACCAACAAGGGCAGGCAAAATATGATTTTGACTTGCTTGTCTGTTTTTATCTCAAGCATTTCTTAACTTGCCCTTATGATATTTATATAGTCTTTAAATTAGTATTCCTTGAAATTCTTGAAAATTACAACCTGTCCCTACAGGTTATGGGACAACTTGGGCAAAAAGGACATTTGATTTTTTCTGCTCCTGCCAACAAAAATGACTATTTTAAGATGCTCACAAAAAGCATGTATCCTGTATCATTTTTTATATGTCAATTTTCATTTCACTTTACTTAAATGACTACCATCCAACCAATATTTAGAAGGAACCGTCCAGATTACCAATATTTTCAAATGAACTGCCATATTGACAACACTGCCGTTAAATAACTTACATATTTATATGTGTAACATGTTTGTGTTTTCCTAACATACATTTATACATATACATATATATACACATTATCAAACAGGAGCCAATAGCATCTATGTGTAAAGATGATAATAATTTTCATGTTATATTTTAAATATAACTCACATGTGTATGCAAATTCACAGAAGATCGGCCTGCATACTGCGCCATCTTGTGTCTATAGTTGAGATTATTACATACAGACTGTGTCTTGTGTTTATCTAGAAGCTCCGGGTATGATGCGTCTGCTGCTATGCACACAGCTAACAATCTGTGAACCAGTATATCTGAGTACCTAGAAGATAAAGAATACTGAAAAATACATAAAATACTACAATTAAGCAACAAACTACTTATAAAACAAGCCATGATTTAAATGAAACATTCAACAGAACGAATTCAGTATAACTAATGTTTGGTAATGAATTTTTTCCCTTGAATTTACTCTTGAAAAGAAGTCATTTCAAAAGTTATTACTCTGTGGCCTCTTCCTTGACATACTTAATTATTTAACTCGGTGTGCTAGTGCACCAGTATTTCTATGGGCAATCACTTTTAATAGTGTGTGGAATATGATAAGTGAAATTAATCAAATTTAATATTGTGACTGTTGCTGCATTGCCCGTACACAGAGTAATGTGTACATTCCCTATTTAATTAAATATGCATGCACTAATATTACATGTATTTTGAAAATCATGCATGAAATGCACGACCAGTAGCTAAAGCATACACGACGGGTAGTATTTAGCAGCCAGTAGTTCTTTGATGACAAGTAGTTCTGGTACAAATTTTCAAATAATGACAATTTATTAAACAAATTTAGTGTCAGAGAGGAGGAAGATGTTATAACATACCTTCTTATAGGAGAAGTAAAATGTGTGTAGATTTCCGATGCCAGACCGTAGTGAAGAAATTCTGCCTCAGGCAGCATTCCACTACAGAAATATACAGCTTGCATCATACATCGCGTAGTCATTATACGTAACATTGTGTTAAAATATTTGTCATCCTCAAGAACGGCTGCATTCAGACTGTCAGCAAGTTCCTTACCTGATGATACATTCATTTTGAAGCCCTGAAAATATAAAAATCCCTTCATTATTACATATCTTTTTGTCCCGGCATATTTGATATTGATTATAATATTGTTCAACATCTGATATACCTTAGTAACTCCTACAATTCCCCTTTACCTATATTACACCAGTAGTATAAAATTACCCTTTAACCTGCTGGAACTGAAACTGATAAGCCTTTGTCAGCAATATGGAAAAGGCTCTATTCTTTTGGTAGCTCAAGTTTTCTTATATTTTATATTAAATTCTAACACGACTCGCATTTTTCCCTATTGAACATAGAAGAACCGAAAGTGTGTGTTATTATGCTATAAAATCACTGTTTGACATTCTATATTTAGACATGTGACGTAATCATTATACACTTGACGTAACCACTAAAAATGTGACGCGCTGAAAATAAGCACAGAAACAAATAGGCGCAATTTAGCTAAATATCAGGTACGGCAGCATTTATTTGTTTGTGTCGTGTTAGAATCGAAATAATATATCCAAATCGGTGATTTTATTGCTTGATAACATCACTGTTTGTCGTTCGGATGCGCATCATTATATCACTCGGGCTACGCCCTCGTGATATAATTCCTCGCATCCAAACTCCAAACAGTGATGTTATTGAGCAATAAAATCACAGTTTGGGATATATTATTTCTTAAATATCTTATACTTGGAATAACTGTTTTATAAATATTAAAGCTAGGCAAATCCATTACACAAACTTAGCAGGTTAAGAGTTAATTAAGTAAAACTAGAAATGTGTCCATATGATGCAGATTCCTTTAGTACCTTAGACTGGGTTGCTTATATCAGGAAGTCAAACACTTTTACCTAAGTTTAAGCTGCCTACCTTTTGTGATCAAGCCTTTATGAAGTGTTTGCTGCTTTATGAGGGAAAAATATAAAATATATTTTTACCTTAGATTGGGCAGCTTTTATAAGAGGATCAAAGTTAGATGCTGGTGGTGAGGGATGTCTTCTTAACACTGCACAGTTAGGGAACTCCTCGTGTATCTTCTGAGCTGTGGATATGTTGGCTAACAACATAAACTCTTCAACCATCGAGTTTGTATCTCTATAAATATGATAATATAAATCTAATTTGGTTTATACAAAATTTATTTTAGTTTGATTGTGTAGGAAGCTATAAGCATATAAACACACTTTCGAATCCGTTCCTGGAACCAAAAAGTACTGAGCAATGAGTGTAAAGTTTCTTGCTCAAGGAAACAAGAATTTGCCAATGACAGGGTTTGAACCCATGCAGCTAGGGTTCATTAGATTACTAGTTTGACGTGTTAACCACTTGGCCATGCCGCCTTATTTATTTAATGGTATTCAATCAGCTTAGTTGTTAGTTTAAATTATAGCTACTTTAACCAGGTATGAGATATATAAAATCTAAGGAATGTGTCCATAGAACAGTTTTTTTTTTCAGTCTACATACGAAAGCTGACGGCAGGACAGCGTGAGGAATGGACAAGGACAAATCTATATCCTCCCCTCTACATAGTGGTGTTATACACAGGAATAGTTTGATTCTTGAACACATGCAGACTCAAAAAGTTCGATATGGACACAAAACTAAAGGAGAACCCAGTGACTTAACTTATTTAGCCTTTGATAAGAAAAAAGTATTTAAACTTACAATAATTGTTTAGCTTGAACATCAATGGGGTCATGTGTCTCACTGTCTATATTAAACCTAATCTCTGGTGAGGCGAGTGTTAATGCTCTGAAACAGATACATATGTAAGTTCTATCATAGTGTTTAAGTTATAAATCCAAATCAAATCTAAATGAGCCGCTTCATGACAAAACCACATAATGCGTTTGCGACCAGCATGGATCCAGACCAGCCTGCGCTTCCGCGCAGTCTGATCAGGATCCATGCCGTTTGCTTACAAACCCTATAACAAGTAGAGAAACTGATAGCAAACAGCATTGATCCTGATCAGACTGCGCGGATGCGAAGGCTGGTCTGGATCCATGCTGGTCGCAAACGCATTACGTTGGTTTTGTCATGACGCGACTCAAATGTACAATTAGACTTCCCCTCAAAAATGATATGTTCTGTTTTGGTCTCCTATTAAATAGTTTTTGTTGGATTTTAACTAACATCGGCTTCCAGCTTTAACTGTGGAGGAAGACTTCTGGGCCCAGGTGCCCCTCCATGCATTATTTCAGCCATATATGTTCATTGAACTTTAGCTAGATCAATAGCAAACTCACAATGTAAGAATCTTAAGTCCTTAGCATATCATTTATACCCAGTGACGTGATTGGCAATTGATACTAAGGCAATGACAAAACATGTGGCCAAGAAGGCCCTTTAAGTTACATAAATGAAAAATATAACATCCGTAAATAAGTTTTAAAATCATCAAATTTCTTATTTCTATAGGGATATAAAGACAATATGTCATCTTAGTGCAATAACTGGTTTACTCCTATTACATTTAGAAGCACTTAACCTATTACTGCAATAACGTGATCAATACTCCTTTCCAAAGCTACTCAACTTATTTTAGAATCCTTGGAAGATAAAATTCTACCTATGTAATAATATTCATACAAATATTCTCAGAAATGTGTATAAAAATCAAGAATGAAAACTGAGACTGTGAAATCACTTAATTTCATGGGCATGATAATTGTGGTTTTGCTAAAAAGGACATTTTTGAGGGTTCTTAAATTGTCTGTTAGATTGTCTTTTCTTGCAAAAAAAGAATTTATACATAATATTTGCAAATAATGTTATAAAATAATCGTACAACAGAAGAAAATCTTAAATTTGTGGGTTGACATATCCATGAAAACCACAATATTTAGTGTCCCATGAAAAAAAATAATTGTGCAATATCTGACAAAATGTACAAACCCTTTATCAGTCCTCTTTTGTTTAAGTATTTTAGCAAGTTTATTAAGCCCTCGTAGACTCTTGGCAATATCATCATTGCGAGCAGGGTCGTCTATAATCATCTGTGCTTCACCATATGTTAGTGATGCCTTAAAAATATAATTATAAATTAACATAACTCAAAACAAAGTTGCAAAACTGAGGATGTCTAATTGGACAATGAACATTTATGAGCTGCGTCACGACAAAACCAACATAGTGGGTTTGCGACCAGCATGGATCCAGACCAGCCTGCGCATCCGCACAGTCTGATCAGGATCCATGCTGTTCGCTTACCAACTATATTACAAGTGGAGAAACTGACAGCGAATAGCATGGATCCTGATCAGACTGTGGGGATGCGCAGGCTGGTCTGGATCCATGCTGGTCGCAAACCCACTATGTTGGTTTTGTCGTGACGCGGCTCATATGTTTATACTCTGGTATACATGAGAAAGTGCCACTTTACAGGGTTAGAAAGAGTTTTTCCTGTATTGAGTTAGAAATGTTTTTGAATTGTTTTTGTTTTCAAAGTACATCCTTTTAGTAACAGTAAATAAACGCTAATTTGAGTTGTAAAATAACCATTAAACTGTTAAGTAGCTACTGTTAAAATGTAAAGCAGTCATTTTTGAACTGTTAAGAACCATACTAGTAATTTTTTAAGCTGTGCCCATGTTTCAAATAGAGGAGTAGTCTTTTTTAAATTGTGAAGTAACAATTTTTGAATTGAGAAAAATACATTCAGCATCTGTTTAGAATAAAGATGTAGAAATTGTGAAATTGCAAACATATCCATTTTTAATTATGAAGCAGTCATTTTTGAATTGTTAAAGTAGCAATTTATGAATTTTTGACTAGAAATAGCTGAATTGAGAAGTAGCCAATTTATCAGTTATAACTCACCCTTGATTCTATAACACTCTTCATAAATGTTGTTTTCACAATTTCAGCTTTGTGGGTCATTTCCCATATCACAGTGAAAGCAAATCTGCAAACAAAATCAACAGTTGCATACGGTCCTGGTAGTTTTTTAAAAAAAAAATTTTCTTTATAATTTTTCTTGGTAGTTTTGTTTAGTCATAACAAAACTGTTAAGGTTTATAAAATCTTTCTAGCTTTACTGGTGGAGAAAGACACAAAAAATGTTCCTAATGGCACCTGAGTACAACCATCCTAAATCAAAATTTCTGACAGGATGAAATTTTTCAGCAGCTTGTGTAAGCAATTGCAAATAAAGGTTTTATAAATTATTATACATTATATAGGACAAATATTCTAAGGCTCTTCTGCGGGAATGTTTAATGTTTAACTTTATATCTGTAACTAGTTTTTTAAAAAAAAATTTTCTTTTTGTGTATTGTGTGTAAAACATAACTGTATTGTGGTATACATATTTCAAATTAGTTTATTAATTTGTATCTTTCATATGTTATCCTTAGTTCTGAAGCCAAGTAAGACAGTAACCCATTAATCAACAAAAATATATAATAAGATAAGCAATGTTTCTAAGAAATGAATCACTATATCAAATATTTACCTATCTACGTCACATCTTAGAGAACATAAATTTGAACTCAGCAATTCTGGTACCATGTCTATTCTCTGAGAAGAAAAAATAAATTTCTTTCAGCCATGAAATTGCAAATAGGCAAGTTTGATATAAAATATATGTACAAGAGTGTTATGTTATTTCAAAAATTACTAATCATAGAGAATTGCTTTCTTGTAACAATCTATGCTAAAATGGGTAATTTATAGTCCAAAAGGAAATTGGTAAATAAACCTATTAAAGCATTCATAGTTTATACATATAACAATACACATCTACCAATGGCGTGTTTCATACAATACTATACATGCCTGAAAGTTATGCTAATTTCGAGAAAATCTTGATAATCATTTAAAATTTTCAATAATTTGGGAATTTTTCAGATTTTCCATTTTTCTAGGTTAGTGAAAGACCTATATTTCCCCCCTAATCAAAGTGACTTGTGTGGTTTTAGTGGTTAATATGATGTATATGATTGATATCTTGGCAGTCCATCCACCTATTGGATAACTAAACAGTAAAAACCATCTTACCTTGCTTCTTAGCAATGACAGACTACTGACATGATTTCTGAACTAGCATTGAGAGACAAATGACCATTAGACTAATTGTCCAAGATCAATTTTCACGGACAAATAACACCTTTCCCAAGGTTCCAACCCATGACCTCTGAATCAATATGATATAAACTATGAAATACTGGATATAACATTAGCATTTACACCTATAACATAGGTTAACTGAACACTTGGACTTTAATTTAACTGCTAAACATGTAGCTCAAAGTGCAGGTAGAGCCCTAGGTCTTGTTATCGCGAAATGCAAAAGTATAGGAGGCGTTCCATACGCTGTCTACACCAAACTTTATGATTCCATTGTGTGGCCCGTGATAAACTACGGTGCAGCGGTTTGGGGTGACCGGTCTTTCTCATGTGTTAATGCCGTCCATAATAAAACCTTGAGGTTCTTTTTTAGGTGTTGGTAAATATACACCTAACGCGGCACTTGCAGGTGAGATGGCCTGGCCACCACCCGTTGTTCGCCAATGGAAATCTATATTCACGTTTTGGGCTCGTTTATGTAATACAAACTCGTCCAGGCTGAATAAGAGAATTCCTCTTTGGGCTCATGGTAAAGCAAACAATAAGTGTAAGACTTGGTATTTTCGTGTGAAGTCAAAATTGTTTGAATGTAGAATCAGCAATTTTTACATGACATTTCTAACTATGTATCAAAACATGCCATTGTTGATAGTGCTATATCTTTTTTGATGGAAAAATATGTATGTGACTGGAAACAGCTTATCAATAGATCTGTAGGTAGTTCAGGTAGAGGAAGAAATAAACTAAGAACATATTGTACTTTTAAAAAAAAATATAGTGTTGAGAATTATTGCACCACGATTATGCCACCTTTACACAGATCTGCCTTCTGTAAATTTCGCTGTGGGTTGCTCCCATTAGATTAGAAACTGGAAGATATGAAAACTTAAGTGAACAAAATCGTACTTGTCCATTTTGTGTTAATAACGTTGAATCAGAATCGCATGTTATCTTACAGTGCTCACTTTATGATGATTACAGACGAAACTTATTTCATAAGGCGGCAGCCGTCGATCCAGAATTTTATAAACAAGTCCGATAATGATAAACTTGTGTTTCTTTTTACAAATACCTCCTTAATTAGAATATGTGCCAAAACCTGTTTCGATATTCTTAATAGACGTAAATCTTATCTTTGTAAATAATATTATGGTAGATTATTATTATAATTTTTATTTTATTTTTATTTTATTTTTTTAATGACATAAGTGCTCCTCTTTTAACTACAAAGTCGTACTGTTTTATTCTTAACTATTCTAACATAGTCTTTACATAGAGCATAGTTTTATCATGTAAATAGTCATAATTATAAAATGCTATATATATATTTATGTGTTTTATACATTTGTAGTCTCCTGTAATTCTTTATAGAATGGTTATATACATGTTCTTAAGATATATTTAATATTGTATTATATTGTACCATGTATATAGATGAGACTCTAATAAATAAATAAATAGGCTAATACAACAGTCCCTGACCTAATAACAAGGCTAATATGAAATCACCAACAGATAACATTTTATTATAGATACCTTGTCTACAAGATAAACTGTTGTACCACGATTGGCTGCCTCCTTATCTAGAGCATTACCTGGCCGTATAAAATGACTTACATCAGCTATATGTACACCAACCTACAACATAAAACAAGGTACAATAATTTATTATTCAAAACCCAGTTATCACTTACTGGGGTTGAAACTTTGCCAACATTGTTAATGCTTGTCTGTTTTTATGGAGATATCAACACATTTTTTCTCATATTCTGGTGGTCAGTCCACCTAAACATCTTTCCAGGAAACTTACCAATTTCTTTGCAAAAGTTAATGTTGGAAATAGACCTTTCTTGCATATCAGACAGGATTATCTACCGTATACATCGGTGCTAGAAAACTCTATCTTAGACCCTCCATGTAAGACAAGTCGCGTGCTTTAAATGACGTCATTGATGCGCACCTTTTATGAATGAATTGCGTTTTTAGGATGACGTCCTTTTACCGTTATGAATGAAGTTCAAACGCTACTATAAGAAAAAAAAGTGCCTTATGAGAATATCCGTTTTCGTAATTTCTATTCTGAAAATAATTGATATGTAATATGCAAGAAAAGAATCAAACATCGGCTGTCGGTGCAGACGGGAATATCTAGCTCTCGGGTAACTGTTTAGCGGAAACTCGGCAGAGCCTTGTTACTGCCGTAAACAGTTACTCTTGAGCTAGATATATTCTGGTCTGTACTGGCAGCCAGTGTAAGATTCTTATATTCTTGTCAATTTCGTAATTATTTCTGACATAAGCAGGCATCTAAGTAGATATACTGATATCTCCTTACCTAGCTGGAAAGTTTCCTCACCATTCCAAAAAAAACAAAGTTCTGTGAAGTCTTGTAACATGTATAATGAAAATTATGATTGTTCAATAAATTTAAATATATTAACTATATATCTATAGAAAAGATCAGTAAAACAGACTATGTACCTCAAGATTTCCATTATCAAGATCTCGGCAGTGGAGAGCATCATCAATATCTGTACAGCCTGGTGGATCTACACTACATACAGTTATATGTCTCAAGTCTGTACGATGTTTCATATCCTGAAACAAATTCAACAATCCAAGTCATTTTTTCTTTTCTTTAAAAAGTTGTCTCAATTTAACCCAAGTAGCTTCCTATTATATAAAACTGTCTCAATTTTCTAATACTTCAAGCTTAAGCATGAAATTTGTAGTGTTGAAGGACAACAGTTTAACCCTTACCCTGACAATGGCAACAAATTCTACTCATGTGACCAGTGCAGACCAAGATCAGTTGGCACTTCCATACCGATTGATAATCGTCTGCACTGTTTGCTAGTCAATACAAATTTATAAAATTTCCCCTAAAATTAATGAATGGATTTGTCCAGATTTAAAAGTGGACAAGCCCATTTTTTTTTATATGTTTACCATTGTAATGGTTAATTCTGCACTAAACAAATACATGTAGCTCCTTAAATATATATTATATTACACATTTTACAAACCTCTTCTGTAATAACCCATGGCAGTTTTGGCAGGTAACTCAGCACTGTCTCGGAGAAGTTGTTGTGTGGAATATCATGTTCTAATAATAGCACCTCATTCTCTGTCTCCTTGTCTCCTACATTACCAAGCTTCCTCACAAAATGTCCCTGAATAACAAGAGCTTGACATAACTGCCACAACCTACTTCTTTAACATATTACTCTGGGGATGTAAAACTTATGAATGTATTACTCAAACATAATCCTTAAATCAATCACATAACTTTTGATCCATAAAGTGATAATTAGCCCAATCACATGACCTTTGAATCTAGCCCAATCAAAACTACTTTGGCTCCATTTTTTGATCTTTAGCTCAATTGTATGACCTGACATGATATCAGAATCCATGACATGATATCTAGCCCAACCACAGGTCCTTAAGCTCTAATGCATGATACCTAGCACTGTTCCCAGCCCTTAGGCTTTATTATATGAGCAACAAGCTCTTTCACACGGCCTTTAATATTAAGAGTTAATTAACACACATTTGTCATGTTTTCATCTCCACTGGAATTATTGTTATTTATTTTCTTATTGAAATTTATTTTTTTACTAAATACTAGCATTATTTTTCAATTTTAACTACTAAAGTAGGGGTGTAATTAAAAAACATAGCTATAAAAATATATTTTTCAATCTTAACTTCAAAAGTATGGGCACAATTAAAAAACAAAGCTATACAAACAATCATACCTGTGGATAGCGCGAGTTTCTAGGCCAACTGTCTATAGCCACAACTATTCTCTGTGTACACAAGTCCTTAGCCTGCCTTGTCTCTATGCGAATCTTTGGAATTCTTTTCTCTGCTGGTACAAAAAGATGCCTTGTTGCCTGAAATAAATAAAAACTTGTTTGTTTGTAAACATGTATTTAATGCAATAAAATATGTTTAAACTAAATAAAACTTATAAAAGTTTTGTTGTGTTCTAAATATCATTAGTTTATATAATAAAGGCCACATGTCAACTTTCCAGCATTTTCTGCTGGAACAAGACATTGGGAGTCCCTCAGTATGCACAGGTGAGGCACCAATCGTTGGTAATACAGCAGGGTAGCTCCTTTATAGGAAAGAATTAACATCCACAAGTATTCCAAAACCAGGGCAATATTGATTTCAGGACAGTGACCTAAGCACAAAAGTGCAGACTCATGAAAATAAAACAATCATTATAGGTAAGTGCAGATTCCACTACAGTTTGTCACTTTTCATGTTATATGCAGTGAGATATATGATCTCATTAAGGTATTACCATCCTAATGCCTTACCTCCGCTTTGAAGAGTATTCAAATAGGCTAGAACGACTGTTAACTACATTGAAACTGAGGGCCATGTGTTCAAACCTCAGATGGGTCAATTTTTTTTTTTTTTAACATTATTTATGTTTCTCTCCATCCATTTTGGGTAGAAAAAAGTGTTTATTTCTATGATTTAATTTATATAGGTATTTATTGGCTAAATAATGCTTAATCTAGTAATAAATATGGTACCTGATATTTTCAAAGTGTAATAAAATCAAAACTAGATGGTAAAAGTATTTAATATTTTACAAGATTAACCAATATACTTTTTAAAAAATTTAGGGAAACTTTGAAAACAGGCACTCATTCGGGTAAATTTTAAGGATTTTTTAAATTAGGCTCCCTCAAAGTAGGAAAATGGTCAACATGAGTTAAAAATGGGTGGGGTAGGGTAACATTTTTATACATATTTTATAAATTTTGAGTAGAAACCATAATTTTGTTTATGTTGATTGTTAGCTGAATAGTACTATTTGTTTCTTACCAAAAATTAATGGGATAACATTTTTCATTTAGAATGTTTAGTGCAGATTATTTAAAGGTTTCTTATTTCTGAAAAAGGGCCCTCATACACCCTAGCTTCAGTTCATAAAAGTGGCCATAACTCGATTTCCGTACAGTAAAGTTTGTTTAAATTTTGCATACAGGTGTACTATAAGGTATATATCTGACCTATGATATAAATTTTTCAGTTCCTTATAGTGCCCATTAGGGTGGTAATACCTTAATTCAGTTTTTTTTGTGTGTTTTTTTTTGGTTTTTCTTTTTGGTCGAGTTTTATGTTGTACCAACACAGTATAGGCCATATGGCAACTTCCAGCTTTACTAGGTTAAGGAAGACCTCAGGTGCCCCTATGTACATTATATCAAGCACAAACTGGTATCTGATTGGCTTTTTCACATTTAAAATCTAAGGACACTTGTGCAACTCAAACCTACAGCAATGAGAGGCAAGTGGCATGAAGTCAACCACCTTAACCACTCAGCCACAGACACCCCCTACTAAAATTCAGTTATCTTAGGATATGTTTCTGTACTTCATAGTAGTTTGAAGTCTTATCACAGGTAACTGAAAAAATTTGGGCTTGTGAGTCTGTTCCACATGTACTTGCTAACATAGCTGATTACATAATATACCGGTACTGCATTATTCTGCATTCACAACAAATTAACCTACATGTTCAGCTATTTTTGTTAAGAAAGAGACTGAAATAGAACAGTTATATTGTAAGTAATTTTGATTGTTTATAAATTACCTCTGTTATAGCAGACTTCTGTAAAATGCCACAGTATTGCCGCCAGTTTCTTTTTATTATTCCTACTACACGGCACGTCTGTTGTCGTAACTCCTTCGGTACTTTGTTCCTCTTAATCTGTTCATCCTAGAAATGGAAGACAAGAATCATACTTTAAAACTTTACCCTGCTAGTAGCAACTGAATCTACCAGTGACGAAGACAGCGGGCGCATGTAATTGTACTATATTATGATATATAATTATATACTTCAAAAGGCCATTTGAAGTAGCTTAAGAAATATCAAAATAATTCATTTGCCTGCTTTTTTTATGCGGATATCAAAACATTTTTGTTCGTATCTCAGTGGCTGGTCAATAGAAGGGTTCTGTTTCGGTCCCAGACATTATACAAGTTGAAAATTCAGATTTTTTTTGCCCAAACTAAAGTTTATGGTATGTAACCTCACCTCTTCATCTATATCTGCATCATCATTTTTCTCCTCAGTCTCCTCCAGTACTAGAGAGCTCGGACAGCTCCACTCGGACTCTGGTAACATCTCAACGGCAACAACATCACCATTTACAGCTCGGTTCAAATTCTTGTGACCTTGAACAAACAGCTGAAAAAAGAAATCTTATACAATTATATATGCAATTATTTTAACCTAGGTGTTGACATTTTGCAGGTTGAAAATGCTTATTTCTATGGTTCCAAGGCACACTTTAATGTGTATATGAAATAAAGGCTACACAGCATATTTCAAACTTACTGGTTGTGAAAAAAACAACAACAAAACAAGAGGGCCATGATGGCCCTGAGGTCGCTCACCTGTATATAGGCTCCCCACCCCCGGGCCAATTTTTACCCAAGGGCTTTTATTTGTTTATTTGAACAGACTTGGTACACACCCATAAGAAGATGTTTCATGCTAAACATCTAAGTTCTAGCTCATTGGCTTTTTTAAAAGAAGATTTTTAAAGTTTTTACTATAACACATATAGTTTAAAACAATGTCACCCCTGGGGCAGGGCCAGTTTTGACCCCCGGGCGTTTATTTTAACAAACTTTGTAGATATTTACTTAAAGATGTTTCATGCTTAATATCTAAACTCTAGCTATTTGGGTTTTTCCAAAGAAGATTTTTAAGTTTTTGCTATACACATATAAGGAAAATCAATGACACCCCCCCCCCCCCGGCGCGGGCCAGTTTTGACCCCAGGGCTTTTATTTGAACATACTTGGTAGACACCCATTAGAACATGTTTCATGCTAATATCTTAGCTCTAGCTCTTTGAGTTCTTTAAAGATTTTTTTTTAAGTTTTTACTATATGCATATAGGGAAAATCAATGACCCCCTGGGGCGGGGCCAATTTTGACCCCAGAGCTTTTATTTGAACAAACTTGGTAGACACTCATTAGAAGATGTTTCATGCTAAATATCTTAGCTCTAGCTCTTTGGGTTCTTTAAAAGAAGATTTTTTAAGTTTTTACTATATGCATATAGGGAAAAATCTATGACCCCCTGGGGCAGGGTCAATTTTGACCCCCAGGGCTTTTATTTGAACAAACTTGGTAGACATTCACTAGAAGATGTTTCATGCCAAATATCTAAGCTCTAGCTCTTATGGTTCTTTAAAAGAAGATTTTTTAAGTTTTTACCATATGCATATAGGGAAAATCAATGATCCCCGGGGCGGGGCCAATTTGACCCCAGGGCTTTAATTTGAACAAACTTGGTAGACACTCACTAGAAGATGTTTCATGCTTAATATCTTAGCTCTAGCTCTTTGGGTTCTTTAAAAGAAGATTTTTTAAGTTTTTACTATATGCATATAGGGAAAATCTATGACCCCCTGGGGCGGGGTCAATTTTGACCCTAGGGCTTTTATTTTGAACAAACTTGGTAGACATTCACTAGAAGATGTTTCATGCCAAATATCTAAGCTCTAGCTCTTATGGTTCTTTAAAAGAAGATTTTTAAGTTTTTACTATATGCATAAAGGGAAAATCAATGACCCCCGGGGCGGGGCCAATTTTGACCCCAGGGCTTTTATTTGAACAAACTTGGTAGACACTTCACTAGAAGATGTTTCATGCTTAATATCTAAGCTCTAGCTCTTACGGTTCTTTAAAAGAAGATTTTTTAAGTTTTTACTATATGTATATAGGGAAAATCAATGACCCCCAGGGGCGGGGGCCAATTTTGACCCCAGGGCTTTTATTTGAACAAACTTGGTAGACACTCACTAGAAGATGTTTCATGCCAAATATCTAAGCTCTAGCTCTTATGGTTTTTTAAAAGAAGATATTTAAAGTTTTTTCTTTTGGTTGCCATGGCAACCAGAGTTCTGCATGGAATTAAATTCTTTGAACAATTTTTAAAGGTGACCACCAAAGGAACATTCCTCTGAAGTTTGGATGAAATTGGCTCAGTGGTTTATGAGGAGATGTCATTTAAAGCAAAAGTTTACGGACGGACGGACGACGGACGGACGGACGACGGACGGACGAAAAGCGATCACAAAAGCTCACCCTGTCACTTTGTGACAGGTGAGCTAAAAACAGAACAATAAAAATGCTGTTTCCAGTAAACAAATATTAAAAGTATGAAATCTGTCAAACTCCTCACAGTGATTACCTCCCTTGGCAGAATTGTAATCGCTGCCTTCAAAGATGTCACATGATGATGAAAGTCACATGACGTAATGTGAAATTCAAATGTAATTTCGACCGTTACATAGAAAATCTAACATCATTTTTCTTTTTCTGTTTTATTTTTAACTTTAAGTACCTATGTTCGCTATAGTTTATCAAAATATTATCAAAATTATACAAAATAATGAAAAATAAATTCAAAAGCTAAAAATAAAATAAAATATCAAAATATTGATAAAAATGTTTGTGATGGCAGAGATCTCTGTACTGATAAGGGGAGATCACTGCTTAGGATATTGGAAATCTGTATGTAAATACATATATGACCTTTACCTTTGATCTCTTAGTGCATCTGGTGGATGAAGTCTTGAAAACTGTGTGTTATGGTCAAGGTTAAAGTTTTGTGACAAACAGACAGACAAACAGACAATCTAAAACAATATGCCATCCTGATCTATCAACCCAGGGGCATACAAAATTGGTAAACAATTTATTACCAAAACATAGAAATTTACCATCTCATCAGCTGTTTGTAGACTTATATTAGCTTCTAGGTAGTTCTCACGACTGGCTACAAAGTTTCCCTGTAAGTATTTGCCGGACTTGATGCCTCGCTGTATCTCTACCATCGGTAAATGTTCCGGAAATTGTACTTTATCCCTCTCATATACCTGTTGCAATTATCACAACATTTGGCTAAAGTAAGCTAACAAATTACAGATGAATTCTTTTATAATTATGTTCTGCACGAAGATTTTGGGCAACAACAAAAAAATTGATACTTCAGTATTGCCTACCCATGGCAAAGAAATTCAGCACCTTCTTGTTCTATACTACTGGTAGCTCTATTTTCATACTTTATAACTGAAAAGTCTCAAAAGATTGTTCCAAATTTTTAGCTGGCATAACCCGTTATCAAATTAAGCAGGTGAAGAGTTTTAATGTAAATATTACCAAGCCTGTTCCCACATGCGCCAGTTTGTCAAGCAAGGAACCATTATCTTTCAAACCTTTAATGTACTCCTGAACTGAAATGAAAATTTATAACATTATAATTTAGATTAGATATTCAAATTTAACGCTTCTTATTATACCCCCACCACAAAATGTGGGGGGGGCTATAATGGATTCGCTTTGTCGCGTCGGTCCGTCCGTCGGTCGGTCCGTCTCCACTTTCGTGTCCGCTCTATAACTCCTATACCAAGTGAAGGATTTTCTTCAAACTTGGCTCAAATGTTCACCTCAACAAGGGGATGTGCAGAACCCATATTGCCCATGTGTCAGTTCAAGGTCAAGGTCACAATTGAAGGTCAAATATCAAACACTATCAAATATTACACAGTATGTCGTGTCCGCTCTGTAAGTCCTACACTACTTGAAAGATTTTCTTCAAACTTGGCTCAAATGTTCACCTCAACCAGGGATGTGCAGAACCATGTTGCCATGTGTCAGCTCAAGGTCAAGGTCACAATTGAAGGTCAAATATCAAACAATTAAATATTACACAGTATGTCGTGTCCGCTCTGTAAGTCCTACACTACTTGAAAGATTTTCTTCAAACTTGGCTCAAATGTTCACCTCAACCAGGGGATGTGCAGAGCCCATGTCCCCCATGTGTCAGCTCAAGCACAAGGTCACAATTGAAGGTCAAATATCAAACAATTAAATATTACACAGTATGTCGTGTCCGCTCTGTAAGTCCTACACTACTCGAAAGATTTTCTTCAAACTTGGCTCAAATGTTCACCTCAACAAGGGGATGTGCAGAATCCATTTTGCATAGTGCCAGCTCAAGGTCAAGGTCACAATTGAAGGTCAAATATCAAACAATCAAATATTACACAGTATGTTGTGTCCGCTCTGTAATTCCTACACTTATTGAAAGATTTTCTTCAAACTTGGCTCAAATATTCACCTCAACAAGGGGATGTGCAGAATCCATGTTGCCCATGTGTCAGCTCAAGGTCAAGGTCACAATTGAAGGTCAAATATCAAACAATCTAATATTACACAGTATGTCATGTCTGCTCTGTAAGTCCTACACTAATTGAAAGATATTCTTCAAGCTTGGCTCAAATGTTCATCTCAACCAGGGGATGTGCAGAACTTATGTCACTCTTTTGCTGGCTTAAGGTCAAGGTCACACTTTAAGGTTTAAAAAATGACTTAGAAAATATTCTTAAATTTTAACATTTATTTGATTATTTCTAAATCTAGAAAAGGTATTTGCTTGAAACTTAAAATATTTTTGAAGGGTCACAATTTCGATATGCTGTTCGTTCAAGTTTTATAACTCTGTATTGAATTTTAACAAAGTTATGCCCCTTTTTAAGTCTTCAAATTTACATACAATCAAATATTAGACAATATGTTGTGTCCGCTCTATAAATCCTATACTAATGGAAGAATTTTCTTCAAACTTTACTCAAATTTTCACCTCATCAAGGTTATGTGCAGAATCCATGTCACTTTTGTGCCGGTTAAATGTCAAGGTCACACTTGAAAGTCAAAAATTGACTTAGAAAATGTTCTTAAATTTTAACATGTACTTGAATAATTTTGAAACTAGCGCAGGCATTTGCTTGAAACTTAAAAGATGTATGAGGTGTGGCAAATAAGATATGCAGGTTAAGTTTCATTACTCTGAATTGCATTTTGACAAAGTTATGCCCCTTTTTAAGTCTTCAAATTTACATACAACCAATACTAGACAATATATTGTGTCTACTCTATAAATTCTATACTATTGGAAGGATTTTCTTCAAACTTTGTCTTTACTCAAATGTTCAACCAAACTGGGTGATGTGCAAAACCCATCTTACCCTTGTGCCAGATTAAGGTCAAGGCCACACTTGAAGGTCAAAAATTGACTTATAAATAAAATGTTTAATACATTGGGAAGATGAAAGGTTATTTGTAACTGTTTCGAACATGATTTGATAATATATATTTATACTTTTACTGTACAATTAGTCTTTTTTTCACCAGAGATAATTTCTTTTTATGTATTTGTGCCACATAAGTTATTCCCTTAACCACCTTTCCAAGTGGTCTCCTGTCAAGGACATTGGTGGGGGTATGAATCGCATTCAGCGATAGTTCTAGTTTTTACAGTTATTGTACTTTACTGAGTTTAGAAAAATGGTCATAATTTAGTAAATGAAATCACCCAAGTAGAACACTAACCATGACCTGTAAACTAGCCAGATGTATTTGTCACAGGGTGATCCAGTCTTCGGTAAGATACAAATGTAGATGTGAGGGTCAGTTGATATAAAATAAACAAACTTATCCGCCTGGAAAACAATCTTGACCACTAGGAAACACACATCCCTTAATCTATGCCTTAATGTGTATATATGAACTATTAAGTAAATAATAGCGTCATAAGCCTACAAGACATCTAAAACGTCATTAAAACTCACGAAATTTCTTTGAGATTTTTTGTAGGTAAAAAATGTTTCAATTGTACTCATTTTCTTAATGCAATATTTGTAGGGATGGAAAAAAAACCTAATAAATATATCAATTACAGCAATACAACTAACCTGTGAAAGCTATCAGCCCCTTCTGTTTAGCTTTTGCTCTATTATCAGCATCATTAGTAATAAGGACAATTTGTACAGCACTGTTCTGTCCACTCAGGTGATCCCTATACCATGTCCCTGCCTTGCGTATAGCTCGATCATTACGATCATTGGCTGTCTCACCACGCTCTCTCTCTACATATGTTTCTCTAGTTAAATAAAATTTCCAAACATAACTCAACAATTTAACACATTTATCAACAAATTTCTGGCAAAACGTTGGGTAATTCTTGTAAAACAAAAAGCAAGTAACATAGTTCTTCTTAGAGCTGTCATTGATTCAGTCAAAGGCATATCGTCGATATATCGATATCGGATTGCAAACATCGACGATACACCGATATATCGATATATTTACCTGTATTTCACATTCATATTTGTATGAATTATTTTAGTAAAAAAAAAACACCTTCTTTACATGAACTTATGATGTGTTTTGTTAATAAATGTCCTCTGATCATATTTTGCATATATTTGTAGTGCTATGAAATATGTAAATTATCAAATAAATATAAAACTGTGTATAAACAGTGGTTATTCATTTACTGGCCTCTATCCATATCTATACACCATCACACTAAGCAGAACACTTCAATGACTAAAGTTACAATATGGAATCACTATCTCACTTGACTATATACAGAATACAAACTTAAATGTATATTAACTAGAATGACTAGTTAACATGACTAGAGTAGAAAACATAAATATTACTTAAAAAAATTCAAATTTGTGCATGAGTTTTGTATGTAGGTGTTAAATAATAGTGACTGTAGTCATAAAGTATTGACACTTGAACACAGCGGATACAAAAACACAGTTGATAATAAGGATGCAAAGGAATTTGATTTTGAAAATATACATTTCTGGAAATAACTATAATTTATTAGGAATGGATCATATTGAAATACAATTTTATTGACTTATTATGACATTTCTGTAATTTTACTGTTCATACAGAATAAGGATTTGTCAAACTATTGTTATGCTTATTTTATTTATATATTTATTTATTTATTTTGTAAATATTAGGAATTTTACAAATTATTTTATTGTTAAGTAATAGCCTACTGATTATATTGTTTTTACAATCGGTGCTGGCACTTGACTAGTGTTTAACCTTGCCCCAATCATTGTTTACGATCAAGATGTGATCTCAAGTTAAATGTATTGCCGCTAAATGGCAGTCATACATTGAATTTAACTTGGGATTAATTTTGAGTTAACAACCCCCTTTTCATCAACAAACCCAAAATGTTCCCAAATGGGCATTGGCTTTGAAATCTTAGCCTTCTTTTTGTCCCAACTATTTTAATGTTTCAGCCATTTTAAAGTGTTGCTAAGATATGGGCATAGTCTAAAATATAGACAATTGTGAATGATGAATCTCAAATCAAGACAGTTTAAGTATAATGATAATTGATTAAGATCTATTGGATTTTTATTTTCAAATTATTTTTTTAAAATTGGATTGTTTTGTAGATATAATTTTCAACACAGAGAAATATGTTTTTTCTGAGGTGAAAATACAGCTACCATACAGTAGCTGTCCATTTAGTAGTCACGGTAAAGTTTTAGACATGTCCTTTTGACAGGGCACCTGTTTCCGTTTATGTTTTGAGTTAATTTTCGTCTTTTCCACAGGAACTTTAAACAAACTATTTTAATGTACTGTATGGGCTGTATATTTTAGTAATTTCTAGGCTTTTAGTAATTAGTGAAAGTATCGATTTTCTAAAATTTGAATCGATAATCGATCGACAAAAAAATATCAATGATACATCGATATCGCTTCTATCGATGACAGCTCTAGTTCTTCTGTAAAATAATCAATTTTAAAATGACACACCCAAACTTACACTAATACATGAAGCCACAACTTGTTTAGTCTCATAATATACAGGAAAAAAAAATATGATCGAGCAATTAAAATAATAATATTCATTAAAATTTTTTAAACCACTAAAGATTTGTTTCCTATCTCCTATTTCTAACAAAACTTACTTGTTGAATTCATTTGCAAATGAGTAAAAATGTTTTCCCTGATTGGCCAAGATATCTTTTAACCTTTTGTAGGCTGGTGCACTTCTGTGACGGACCTGAAAAATATGACTTTTTAATTGATTTCTTAAATGGCAAATAATTTATGATTACCCAAAGACTTTCTAGGATTCAACTTGAACTACAAAAACAAAAGCTGTCAAAGGGACAGTGTGCTGGGCTATTCTCAGCGCTTGATAGTAAAACAAGAGCCTGGATAATACAGAAGTTTCAATGTTCAAAAAGGGCTATAATTCTGACAACATCCATTTTAGAGTTACGGGCCTTGGACAATGACCTCATATTGTGCTCTCAATTAAGGGTGCCATGTGGAGTGTCAACCCATTCCCTTAAGTAGCATGCAAAAACTTAGACAAAGTGTGATGCCAACGACAGACACCTGGTTGAGTACTACTTATTTTTGAATAGTTTAGCTAAAAATTAATGAAGTTAACTGAAAAGCTGCACTGAATCCTTGATTTCTATCATTTCAGGATTAACAATAAACACAAGTGGAATTCTGACAAATTTGTGGTAATTTGCCTTGATTGCCAATTTGGAAATCTTAGATTAAGTTAACCTGCTAAAAATTAATTGATAAGAGGAACTTAGACGGGACATTGTTATGATTTTCTTAAGTATACATTTCTGAACAGGATATATATAAATTATTACAAAAATATACATGTCATATATGTACCTCTTCAGAAACTGTTTGCAAGATAATGACGTTCTGTAGCACTGTATCCTCTAGGACATCAATCTAAAATTAAAATATTTCATGTATACATAAAATTTCATATTATCTAAATTCTGTTAAAAATATATGTAAAGTTGCAAATTTGTCAATTGCAAAAAATACCCAATACCCAAAAAGAAAGAAAAATAAGCCAAGTTTATACCAGGAATGATTGTTGTTCTTGATAGTTGCATGAAGATCAATTATAATTTCACTGGAACTGATTAATCATTCATGCTAAAAAGAATTATGTTACAAAAAAAGGAAATAATTTTAGCTACATGTAGGATTTATAATGCTTTAACTGTATAAACTATAAAGAGCAATATATTACTTAACTAAGTTCTCAGATGAAATAACAAAACCTTTAATTTAATAATATGCAGCAGAATGCAAAAAGTACATGTACTGCAAATTAAGTAGTAAATCTTGATGTTATTGAACTGTACAATGTACATGTATGTACATGGTCGATTATTATAGTAGACTCAATTTCTGGTTGCACAATTGTTCTCACCCTGTGGCATATGGTTACCAACAAAGACCATAACATAATCTTTGCCATGTAACCATGAGAAATTCAAGGACGAATTTCAATATAGTCACGGATTTATATAAATCCGTGGTGATATAGTAGGGAGTAATATTGTCACGGAACTGAACTGTTTGCTAACTTGAGATGCTGTAGTGTGTAAGATGCCAGATAGCTCAGTTGGTACGACGAGAGTCCGATCTGGCTTATGAGCTATAACTATTAGATATCAGGCTTGACCGACATTGACTATAACAAACCTGTAACATCTGATATATTGGACTAAGTCAGCAATTGTCAGAGAGATTGCTTACATTTACATTTCATATGCCTGACAAGCACATAATTTTTGCAAGATTATTTTCAGCATTTATCAATGTAAACATATACCTGATGAAGTACAACATTCGTATCCGGAATGATATAATGTTCTTTATCAAACTGACAGCTCGGATTTTCTGGTTTTTCTTTCAAAACTGGTCCTTTTTCGTCATGAACACAACTTTCGCAACATTCCGATCCGCATGAAATGTCATCTCGTAAATAATGCTCCCTTACAATCTTCAATATGCTTCCTTTCTTTGTTTTCTTTAAAAATATCTTGTTCGTAAGCATTTTGCTAAAAAACAACAATAAATGTTTATATTTTTGTAAAACACGTGAAATTGAATCTCAGTGTAACAGACGCTTGGAAATTTTAGGTATCACTAAAACACTTACAAAAACACTTCTTCGTCGTTGTCGTCCAGATTGTTATGATCAATATAAAGAAAAAAACATAAAATGAGATGTTAACTCGTAAATAAAAAACATTTAACTGAGAAATTATATCTTATAATTAGCGAAACAAATCACTATGATATGGAGCTTTATTTGTAATAAAAGTTTCTGTCACAATTTACAACTCGATCGGGTCGTTGTAAACAGGTCTGCCTTTTCGTCAACTGAAGCCCCTTGCATCATGCATGGTTAGATTATTCCCTAATTCGTCACCTCTTTCCTTTCATTTCAAAAAAGTTTATCTATTATAACAAAAATCTTAGTAACAGCAAGCGTACGTGGGTTACCAGAAAATTCCTAAATTTAAGTCACCAGGCCGAGATACTAACTATTTATAAGTTAATTACCGTAAAGTTTTATTAATGTAGGAGAAAGATGTCAACAAAAAAAAAGTGGAATACAATATGAATTTGTCAACATATTATTTTGTTATGGGAAGTAAAAAGGTGAACAAAATAAATTTAAAGCAATATCTAGCTATAATGTCTATCTCCCGTTATCATTGTTGTTAAAGTTATTTCGTACTTTATTGGATGTTTACAAATTAAATTACATGTTTTTGAAACATTATATCAAACCTATGCACGTGCACTTTGATGATCAGTTAACATGCTTGTCATCTAAAAATTCAAAATGTAATATTTAATCTTTTTAACTTTCTTGCCATTTTTGACGCGCAGATACGTCTACGTCCCCGCGAGGGGTTTGACATTATCGGGAGGGAGGTAGGCAGAAAGGGAGGCAGACAGGCAGAAAGATAGATAGACAGACAAACAAAGTCAGCACTATATACGAGTATATATCAAATCTTTTTACACAGGTTACTTTTTTAATATTTAACCATTTTTAATTCAATAACACATACTTTATTTCAGTTTAAATTTTGATTTAAACCATTTTCTTATATATAAAAGCGATTTAAAACCATTTAATTCCACCTGCTATATACCTATTTATCAAAAAGTGAGGAGTTGACCATTTAAGGTGAGAATCTGATCACAGGACGAGTTGACCTGACATCTTTTAGCCCCGATACTGAAGAATAAAGATATATTTACCAATAATTAACAAGTCAGAATATATTTTACCTATATGTATCTCCAAGCCTGTTTCTTTTCCATGGACAGGCAAATATTATCTTTTTAGTTGTTGCCCAAACTCTTCGATCAGTTATAGAGGTTGAGCTTTTACGATAAAAGATATAGAAATTGTATGCTTTATTTGGGACATAGTTTTAACATATCTTTTGTATGTCCCAGGCTTTATGCATATGTTGGCATAATGATATTGTGTGCTCCAAAAAGTTTTTATCCTTTTTAAGTCTGCATGCTTACCCAAACGTAATATACAATGCACCTATTATTGTTTTACTTAATACAGTACTTACCGCCAGGTAAGTTGATATTCTTATATTTGATGAAACTATCTAGCTAGTTTATGGATTTTCCAATGCTCACTTCGTCTGAAAATGCATTAATGGGCAGGTAAACATTATCATATCTCCCGCTTGTAGGCCTCTTACTCTAGCTGTCATGTCAAGAACTTCAAAGACATCGGTGCACAAACAGCGTTTGTAAAGATTGACATTTTGTTGAATTGTGCTTAAGCCGGTCGGTAGTTTCCACTTGACGGTACCGTCCATGAACAGGCTCAATCAAACCGAGCATGAAACATTTTAAATTTTGTTGTTTTGGACTTTCTTTAGGGAGTCTTATTTTCTCTATTTTTTTCCCAAGTCCTTCCCTGATAATTGACGTGGTTGAACCGTTCATAATTTTATCTCAAATGTATTGATGGTCGCATATTCCATTCCTGTAGATGACCCTTATTGAATTTGGGGTTACCAGATCAAGGTTACAGGTCCTTGAATGGTAATATTTCAGCTCATTATCTTGAAAGATAATTATCACAAAGTCTTCATATTTCACATAGTGATTGGTCATAACCTAAACCAGCAGATGACCCCTATTGATTATGGGGTCACTAGGTCAAGGTCACAGGGGCCTTAAATGTCAGAATGATTTCCGCTTATTAACTTGAAAAGTATTTCTCTCAAAGTATTCATATTTCACGTATTGATTGGCCATAACTAGTAAATGACCCCTATTGATTTTGTGGTCACTAGGTCAAAGTCACAGGGGCCTTGAATGGTAGTATGATTTCTGCTTATAATCTTGGTTACTATTTATCACAAAGTATTCATATTTCACATATTGATTGGTCATAACTAGGAGATGACCCCTATTGAATTTGGGGGTTACCAGGTCAAAGGTCACAGGTCCTTGAATGGTAGTATGATTTCAGCTCGTTATCTTGAAAGATAATTATCACAGTCTTCATATTTCACATAGTGATTGGTCATAACCTAACCCAGCAGACGAACCATATTGCTTTTGGGGTCACTAGTTCAAAGGTCAAGGTCACAGGGGCCTTAAATGTCAGAATGGTTTCCGCTTATCTTGAAAACTATTTACCACAGTCATCATATTTCACATACTGATTGGTCATAACTAGTAAGTGACCCCTATTGATTTTGGGGTAAGTAGGTCAAAGATCAAAGAGTTATTGAATGTTAGTATGGTTTCCGCTCATTATCTTGAAAGCTATTTAATTTATCACAAAGTCTTCATATTTCTAATATTGATTGGTCATATCTATTAGATGACCGCTATTGATTTTGGGTCATTAGTTCAAAGGTCAAGGTCATAGGGGCCTTAAATGTCAAAATGGTTTCCGCTCATTATCTTGAAAAGTATTTGTCACAAAGTCTTCATTATTTTATTTTTTTCCATAATTGTTTTTATTGAACACTTCCATGTACCCATTTATGGCAAGTTTCTATAACAAAATTACCAATCATGCGAGTCAAGGGCTAGAAAGGGGGCATGTGTGTTGTTCCACATTTCTTGTTTAATATGTTTTAAGTCTATATAAACTAAGTGACACTCGCAGCAAAATCAATTATGACTACTGTAGCATGATTTATTTAACTTTTGTACAGGACCATAAGGTGATACTAAGTCTAAATATGACCAAAGGTCGAGAATGATATTGACTAAAGGGGCATGATTTATGTAACTTTTATAGAGGTCCACTTGAAGTCAAAACACTAAACCACATGGCCTCAGTTGCCAGAAATCTGTTTGTACATGTGACACAGAAGACCATAGCTGAAGCTGGGACCCCAAGCATCTTCACTGTATATATACACGACAAAGTTCACCATTATTCTGCCATTCTGATAAGCTAAATAACATAACAGCAAAGAAAGTAAACAGTTGATTACTTTATTTATTATTTATCTCATTAATCTATCACTACAAAAGCACTACTTTTTCTTCACTTCATCTTTTTGTGTTAACATGTCTTTTAAGAATGATTCAGTGTCAATATTTTCTTGATCTGTTTCTTCAGCGTAAAATTTTTGTTTAATTCTGTCAGCATACACAGCATCAAAATATTCTCGTGCAGTATGTTGACCTTTTGTTATATTGGCTACTTTATCATAGGGCACATATGGCTGCAGCTGAAATATGAGAAAAAGAAAGAAGATTATTTCATTTGCAATGGTTCATTGTTACATTATAACTTTTGTCATATTACATGTATATTTATCAACATTTGCTTGTTTCTCAATAGATTAAGAAGAATATAAAAAATGATTCATTTAAAACTTATTTTCCATAGTTTGATTCTGTGATGTTTTAAGATGGCCCCCAACCTTAATGCAAGATGTTTTTAACTGGTTGGTCTCGCCATATGATCATGGAAAGCATGTAGCCCCTATATAGTATTATACCATAGCCTAATAAGTTTGGCAAACCTATGACCCTTGTTATTGATATAAGCCTAGGGCGACTGTAACCTAATGACCTCATTATCAATAGGGGTCATCTGTTGGCCATAGGCATTTTTCTACCAAGTTTGCCAAACCTATGCAATTTTTCCAAGTAATTGATCTGGCAAAGATTTTACACAGTATCAAAATATTTTGGCCTTGGAAAGGTCCCAACCAAGTTACATATGCACTGACTTGTCCTTAAGGTATTGATTTGACAAGGATAATAGGATGTGCATAAGGAGAAATCACCCCATCACAATATGCTCATCAATTTTTAAGTGGGGCTATAACAGGGAAAACATTGATTTCTTGCCCAAGTATCCTTAAACACCAGCTGAAGCTAGAGCCCCTGTGCTAAGGTTAAACTAGAAATATGTCCATAGGACACGGGTACCCCACACCACTGTTTTGTCAATCTTATGACTCTAGGTCAAATATTTTTTGGGCTACATGTGCCACATGTTGAAAACTAAAAATCTTTTACTAAGTAAAGATCAAGTACAGTAAAAACTCTGAAAACCAGACCCTGCCCGGACTTGGCCAAAAGTCCGGTTTTCAGAGGATTCCGGTTTTCAGAGGTTTTATACATTTATTGATAATAATGATGCGTCTGAACAATGACTTTGTTCAATCATTTTGTATTTACTTTTCAACCCTTTTGTCCAAGTCATATTTTAATTTCTTTCTGCAATAAATGTCTTAAGTAATTTTATTATGCAAATCCATGAATATAATTCTTAAAATCAGAAATTAAAACAACATATTGTCTGAAATATCTGTATCTGATATATAAATATCTGTTTAATCTGTAATTAATGGAATTTAGTATTACTATTTTTGCATATTATTAATATCCAAACAAACTTCAAGGTCAAAATTTTAAGCAAAACAGGAATCATTTTTAACAAAAGTTTCCCAATTCTTATAGACATTTAAAAAAAAAAAATTTTAATTTTAAAACATTTTGAAAAATCATACCTATACAGGGAAAGACACAATTATGATGAAAGAGCTTTAATTTAATTGCCAATCAGGTATTAACACAAACTGACAAGTGTTTTCACACCTGCATAGATAAAAAGTTGGTAATTGAACATGTCACCAGTTGAGATTATGTTTTAATCTACATTAAAATACACAGAAAGTTGACACTTAAAATTGCTGTCCGGTTTTCAGAGGATTTTTTTATGCATGTTTAGCATTAGAAACCATAGAAAATCGTCCGGTTTCCGGAATTCAGAGTTTCCGGTATTCAGAGTTTTTTTTTCCAATAAACATATAAGGAGAAAATACAGGACTTTAAAAATGGTCCGGTTTTCAGAGGATTCCAGATTTCAGACGGTCCAGTATCAGAGCAACAGATAAGCTTTAAAAGTGAATTGGGTATTACTCCATCATTTCCTTTGGAATTGGGTATTTACTCCATTTAATTGGGTATTCCAAAACTCGATACCCTATGATTTCAAGATCAATTGGGTTTTCAATTTTGAAGATATGAATTTTATGGTTTCAATATCAATAAAATTTAAACTGTTTTAAAAAGAAAATAGGATTAACAATTCACTAGAACTTTTCACAATTGTTTTATTTTTTATATAAAATGCTCATGTTATATTTCATAATATTTTTAACAAGTTCGTTTTCTGACTAATTTTTGATTTACGACTGTTTTGTCCCTTTTGTACGACGCCATACTGCTTTCAAAGCGTCTATTGATACAGCTGGGACCTACTTATTGACGGTCTCGCAAAATCAACGGTCTCTGCCGGTCTGTAAAGACCGTCGACCTGAGTAGACAAATCGACGGTCTCATGCTTTATTGATATGGCTTAGTCGGTCTTTAGAGATCGGGGACCGTCGAAGACCGGAGACCGTTGATTAGTTAGCATTGATGATAGCATGCATATCAATATAATTTGTCCAAAACTACGAGCGTACCACAGATAAATTTTGCTGTGATGAAAATGACAATACGCACGGGTTTTCAAGACAATTGCGTATTTTATTTTTTTTAATGGGTTTTGATATGCATTCTTAAAAAATCAATTGCGTATTTTATCAAATTAATTGCGTAAATACGCACCTTATCTGTTGCTCTGATCTGACTGTATTCAGAGTTTTTAATAATGAGTAAAACCACAAGCGAACCCCAAGGTGCATAAGTACACATTCTTGTAAACTTTCAGGCCTAAAGGTCAAATACTTTTTGAGCTATGCATGAACAAGTTAAAATTGCAAATTTTAATTAAGTCAAGGGCAATAACTCTCACAAAACAGAATAAATCCACAAGGGAAACCTCAGGTGCACAACATCACAACAGTCATGCTGAGCAACATTCCTGTAAGGTTTCATGACTCTAGGTCAAATACATTTTTGAGTTATGTGCGACACAAGTTGAAAATTGCAAATTTTTACTAAGTCAAGGGCAATAACTCTTAAAATACAAAATAAATCCACACAAAAATATCCAGGTGCACAACTTCACATTCTTAGCAACATTCCTGTAAGATTTCATGGCTCTAGGTCAAATACTTTTTGAGTTACGTGCGACAAGTTGAAATTTGTAAATTTTTTCTAAGTCAAGGGCAATAACTCTAAAAGTACATAATAAAACCACATGAAAATACCAAGGTGCACAACTTCACATGCTAATCAACATTCCTATTAGATTTCATGACTCTTAGTCAAATCCTTTTTGAGTTACATGCGACACAAGTTGAAAATTGAAAATTTTTACTAAGTCAAGGGCAATAACTCTAAAAATACTAAATAAAGGAGATATGCTCTTGGAAGTTATCTGAAAATATCTTAACATCTTAACATTTCTAGTGATCTTGACCTTGCAAATATTAACCTGAATTACAAGTGTCAGATAGTTATCATTTGTGCTACAATCCATCAATAAATGATGACTAATTATTATCTCCGTTCAAAAACTTTGACCTCTCTATGTAACCTTGACTTTGGTAGCAGGGACCTGGATTATGTACACAATAAGCATCACAATGGTTAACATTTGCACCAAGTTACATTAAAATCCTCCGATGAATGTAAAGTTAGGCTCTGAACAAGCGTTTTTCAATGACCTGTAAGTGTGACCTTAACCTTTAACCTCGAGACTTGGTTCATGCTCGTGGCACTGCTTCTCAAAGTGGTGAACATTTCTATGAAGTTTCGTTAGAATCCCACCATGCAAGGAGGAGTTTAATCCCTCAGTAAATGATGTCTAAATTGTTTCATATTTTTATCTGAACTTTGACCTGTTTTTTAAACGAGCATATAAAATGGACAAACCAGGTTTATAGTAACTATGTTAATTGCTATCTTAAAATATTAGTGAACATCAGAACAGATGCTAACAAGAGCCACAGACGGGCCGGGGCAATGCTCAACTTTTTATACTTTTTCTAAAAGCAAACAAATAAAAGATTTAAACAAATCTTTAAAAAAAACTTATGGGAAACATTTACTTGAAATTTCTAATAGGTAGGTCTAGTCACACTTGTTGTTTTTGTCCACATATCAATCTTTTTGCCCACGTATCAATCATTTCCATAATGTTCAACTTTACATCTAAAACTGTGTACATGTTCCAAATTTCATAGCTGTACATCAAAGGAGAAGAAAGTAGGCCACTTTGTCAAATTATTTAGGTCAGCTGATATCAAAGTTTAATGAACATCTAAAACTCTGCACTTGGTTAAAATTTCATAGGATCATAGCTGTCCATCAAACTCAAAGGACAAGAAAGTAGGTAACTGTATCACGGTCTATGTCAGGTGATATCAAAGTTCAATATTACATTGAACATAGGGATTAAACGATGATCGAGTATAATCGAAAATTGATCGTTTATAGAACCGATTAGCGATGATCGATTACAAAGTTTAATAATCGATTATCGGTAATTTATTTTCTTGCTGTTACTAAGTTACTCACTGAATTATAACAACACTAAATTAAAGCCAGTTTTGGTTGAAACAATAATTTTCATTCAATTGAATATGAAAGTATACTGGTGACCATGGAGTTAATAGTTGACAGTGAGGCATGCTAGTTTAAAGGTATACTATGCTCAAATTTGACATAAGAAAATATTTAATATTAAAAATATTTAAAATTGCTACACAGTCTATTTGTAAATATAAAATAAATATGTTTTGACTTCACACTAAGAAGATATGTTATGTATAAAATTATTCTACACACTAAAGGTGGTTGCAATATCAATATATAGTGTCATTAAATAACTGGCAATTTTTTAAGAAAGGACCAACTTAACTTGTTGCCATACATAGTTATGCCCCCACAATGTGGGAGCATATAGCGTTGCACTTTCACTATATACTATGTAGAAATTTTGTGAACGCAACTCCTCTTAAACCGGATGGCAGATTTTGCCTAAACTTCCAGGGATGAACAACCTTAATGTGTAGATGGTAGTAAAGGAAGGAATTTTCGCTGCGACCAAATTTAACAGAATTATGGCCCTTTGTTGATGTTTTCACTATATATACTAAGTAGAGATTTTGTGAATGCAAATCCTCATAAACCGGATGGCAGATTTTGGTTAAACTTTCAGGGATTAACAACCTTAATGTGTAGATGGTAGTAACGGAAGGAATTTTTGCTGCGACCAAATTTAACAGAATTATGGCCCTTCTTGATTTTTAGTTTTCAACTTGTGGCACATGTAGTCCAAAAAATATTTGACCTAGAGTCATAAGATTGACAGAACAGTGGCGTGTGGGGGCATCCGTGTCCTATGGACACATTTCTAGTTTATTCATTGCTTTTTTGAAAGTGAGACATAATAATTTCATAGATTTTAATGAATTTATTTGATAACTAGAAATGTGTCATCATGCCACGGATGCCCCCGCATGCAGCCAAAATTTCAGATGTTATAATATTTAGTTCCAAATTTGTTTGCACAAAAATATTGTTTTCATTTTAAGTTCAAAGCCCTTTAAACTTTTCAGTGTTAACACAAACCATTTTCATACAATATTCAAGGCACTGAAATTATTCAGTCTTAACCTTTTGAAAATAGCATATTTCATATTTGTAGCCAAAATAATGGCTATACATACATTTCCACAAAAGTATGAGTGCTGAAACAAAAAGTTCAAAAAATTTCCAATATTCAAGAAAGATAAGGTTGTCCAAAATCATTAAACCATGACCAAATTCAAACTTAAACTGCTTATTCCTAAGACGTATCTATATTATTTTCAAAGTGAAAGGGACATAACTCTGCCAAAAAATCATCGAACCATGACCAAATTCCAACTTGACCTGCCCATTCCTTTGACATATCCATATGTCAAATTTGAGTTGAATATGTAACACTGTTGGGTAGATAATGAACAGAAACTGTAAATTTCATATTATTTTCAAAGTGAAAGGGGCATTACTCTGCCAAAAATCATTGAACCATGACCAAATTCAAAATTGGCCTGGGCATTCCAGAAACATATCCATATGTCAAATTTTAGTTGAATGTGTTGTACTGTTGGGGAGATAATGAACGGAAACTGAAAATTTCATATTATTTACAAAGAAAAAGGGGCATAACTCTGCCAAAAATCATCGAACCATGACCAAATTCGAACTTTATCTGTATTTTCTCATGACATATCCATATGTCAAATTTGAGTTGAATGTGTTGTACCGTTTGGGAGATAATGAACGTAAACTGAAAATTTCACATTATTTTCAAAGTAAAAGGGGCATAACTCTGCCAAAAATCATCGAACCATGACCAAATTCGAATTTGACCTGTATTTTCTCATGACATATCCATATGTCAAATTTGAGTTGAATGTTTTGTACCGTTGGGGAGATAATGACAGAAACTGAAAATTTCATATTATTTTCAAAGTAAAAGGGGCATAACTCTGCCAAAAATCATCGAACCATGACCAAATTCGAACTTGACCTGTATTTTCTCATGACATATCCATATGTCAAATTTGAGTTGAATGTGTTGTACCGTTTGGGAGATAATGAACGTAAACTGAAAATTTCACATTATTTTCAAAGTAAAAGGGGCATAACTCTGCCAAAAATCATCGAACCATGACCAAATTCAAACTTGACCTGTATTTTCTCATGACATATCCATATGTCAAATTTGAGTTGAATGTGTTGTACCGTTTGGGAGATAATGAACGGAAACTGAAAATTTCATATTATTTTCAAAGTAAAAGGGGCATAACTCTGCCAAAAATCATCGAACCATGACCTAATTCGAACTTGACCTTTATTTTCTCATGACATATCCATATGTCAAATTTGAGTTGAATGTGTTGTACCGTTGGGGAGATAATGAACGGAAACTGATGATGACGGAATGACAGAATGACGGAAGGACGGAACAGGGTAACACTATATGCCCCGGCCATTACATGGCGGGGGCATAAAAATATCTTACTCAAGAATGAGCATAGTATACAAATGTATCTTTAAACTTATTTATTTCAGTTGATAAAGTGGTGGTTACATGGAAATGGAATTCTTATAAATATTAAAGCATGATATGAACAGTGTACATATTGACTTTGTTATTGTGAATGTTTCGATTATATAATCGATGATTGATCGAAAAGGTTTGTTCGATTATTTTCGATGATCGATTATGATTTTTGTCCGATTAAGAAACCCTAATTGAACATATTACAACTGTGCACATGGTCCAAATTTCATAGCTGTACATCAAAGACCAAGAAAGTAAGTCACTTCATCAAAATCTAGACCAGCTGATATAAAGTTCAATTTTACTTATAAAAATGCACACATGGCAGTACATCAAAGGACAAGAAAGTAGGTCACTGTCAAATTATCTAGGTCAGCTGATATAAAAGAGTTCATTTTTTACATCATAAACAGCAAATGGTCCAAATTTCAAAACTTGTACATTAAAGGATGAGAAAGAAGGTCACTTTGTCATATTATCTAGGTCAGCTGATATCAAAGTTCAATTTTACACCTAAAACTGTGCTCATGGTCAAAATCTCATTGCTCTTGGGGAAAAACTCGAGAATTTTATTAATTTGACCAGGGTTTTTCAAACAGAATGGTCTGGAAACGCACTAAGAAAACCCTTCTCGCTACAATTCAACATGTCTGGGTATAACTCAGTATAATTTGCTGTGCAGTTCAAAAAAGGTGCGAAAATTAAATACAAGAGCGAAAATGAAGATTCTAACAACATGATGTTCTTTAAAAATCTTTAAGCTTGTGAAAAAAAGGATAAATATTTCAGAAAATAATGTTTTGAAGCTATATTTGTTGAAAAACATTGATTGCTTGTTCAGAATATTTGCCAATAAATGGCGCTATTTTGAAAATGCACCAAATTAAACATCAAATATTAGTAAATAACATCTTTGAAATATTATAAGCTTTACTTATACCTAATTTCAATGCAAATCTATAAAATTGTTACTTTTTAAAGTAAAAACTGATAATGTAATGTAGCCTGAATTAGTTTTCAGTAATTTTCTGATTGACTAAACAAAATATTATCTTATAATTTGTTTTTTGAATGGTGATGTACTATGCCAGATCATGGTTGGTAGATAACCAAATCACATGATTCAACCGAGACATTTGTTTTGTAGAATTGGTCCACACCATACTATTTGAAAGACCCTGATCTGACCTTGACAAGGTCAACTTAAGGACAAGGTCACATGCAAATTATTCAATAAAAAATTATGTTTGTTTGGTAGCAAGTCTTGTTATGTCAAAGTATTAATTAATGCAGTACATATACATGTATATAACAAAATTATGACAATTTAACCAAAATTCAATAATTTGACCTTGACAGTCAATTTCATTTAAAGCTAAAGGTCAAGGGTCAATTCAACCTTTCAAAGGTCTTGTCCAAAAGGTTGTTTTGTCCAAGTATGTAGATAATCCATTTAGTTTGATATACATGATGGTCTTATCCTAAAAAATGTCTTAATAAGAAGCCTATCTATTCATTATTAGCAAAGTTATAACCAGTTATAGCAAAAAAAGAGAGAAAATTTCAATAATTTGACATTCAAGGTTAAAGCCGTTTATGAATGAAGGTCAAGTTTAGTCCAGTCTACTTGAAGGTCTTGTCCCGTAGGTGGTTGTGGCCAAAAATGAGTGAAGACAATACACCAACAACTTAAAAAGTTATGATCAACAAGGTTAAAGTTTGCGGACGGCAACAAAAACACTGTCGTGACTGTAACAATACCTGTATTTTTTTCTTTGAAAAAAAGTCGAGCTTAAAATGATTCTTACTTCAAAATCTTTGAGGTCAGGTACTATAAATTCAGTTTGCATTTCAGGAACCCTTTTAAACACACCACTTCTATTGACAAAACCAACGGCTGGAACTCCTGTAGATATAAAACAAGAAATACATATGAGCAGTACTGGTGAATTTATAATGATAGCTTATTTAATTGTACTTTCTATTGTTTATACCTCTTACCTAGTATCAACAGCTGTAACGTTCTGACCACCTTTTACCTGTATTCAAATCTCTAAATGGGTCTGTGAAGAAGAAAACTGTATTCTGGAATCCCCTTCAATTCAGATGTTTTATTGAGTCTCGAAGGGGTCCAGATAATAGTTTTAACTGTACCCAAAACATAATTTCTACAAAGCATAATTAAAAGATGTGACAAATGTGTTATCTTTGTCTGCCAGCTACATAGTCCATTTAATTGTACTGCGCGACAAGATATTGTGCTATTTTCGTGTCTGGGCAATATCTCGCCTCTAAAAGCAAGATTCTGCCCCACAACAAAAATATCTCAGAACCAAGCTTTGGCACGTCAATATATAGCTACATAAAAGAGACATGCCGGCAATCATACATTTGGGAGGCTGGGATTCTTTCTTATTTCCACATCAGCTGGTGTGAACAATAAACAATTGTTACAAGATTAATTAATTAATACATGTATAGAATGATAGTTAAAATGGAAATATGCAATGTTTTTGTTGCTTATTGATCAAAAGTAAAATATCACAATACTTCAATAACTGACAAATATGGGCAATTCTTCAAAACATGAACAATTTTTTACAGTAGGCAATTGACTCATATTTATGCTTACATCAATACATGAAAGGGATTGGCTAGTGATATTTTACATTATATTTCCCTATAATGTATGTACAGTAACAATGCCGTATTGCTTTCAGTGCGTCTATAAATACCGGTACAAGTCAACCCGGCCCCTAGTCAACCCGGCCGCAAGTCAGTCCGGCCCCAAATTGGTCAACCCTGCCCCAAACTAATGTTATTTCTGGTCAACCCGGCCCCGTTTTTTTATTATTTATTTTGCTTTAAAATATAAACACTTATCAAGAAATGATAGAAATACGATAGAAGTATTAAGAAAAAACTAAACTTTTTTATTGACATACCATGGAAAAGAAACCTTAATGTGTTCAAATCATTACTATGTTATTGTATGTAAAAAAAAAAAAGAAATGACCAAAAGCACACTAAAGTGTTTCCCTGAACAGTTTTAAAGTAAGATTAATTATAGAGATGCTGCCATCTATCACAGGTATCGCAGGTCACTGCCTCCTGTCTGTCACGCACAATAAGGCCAATCGCACAATATATCCATAATCAATACAGTTATCAGTCATGATGACATAAAGTGATTTAACACAAAACACTTTCAAATTTTCAAACAATTAGTAATATTCCAATATTTTTTTAGACAGTAAATATTCTTTGAAAATAAGTTAATAAAAAACGAAACAAATATTAATTATACTGATGAACGTATTCAATAGAAACATTCAAATGAACTGAAAAAGAGATTGTTGGAAACTTAATTTATACAAACATTTTAACTCGAAATTCAATGCATTTCTTCCTAATTAATTAACACTCACGAAACCATCTTTAATTTACATGAAAGATACTACCAACTTATTCATACCTTTTTATACTGTTTGATTATCACATCTGAAATAATGTTGATGTACATATAATTGTTGATGTTATATAATTATTCATTATCATTATTGCGTATTAAACTGTTAAAGTCTTAATCGGCACAATTAAATTTACTGACATTTTTATGCCAGTTCATGTTGGTTTCTTTTACAATTGTTCTTTAGTTTATAATATTCAATTAATAATAAACCATTTTTATTCCATCATACAACAAAATGACGTGAATAGTTTTCTTTGAAAATATATATATTGGGGCCGGAATGACAGATTTTGGGGCCGCACTGACCAATTTTGGGGCCGCATTGACCAAATAAAAACTCTGTCAGTCTGTGGGGCCGGATTGACCAATTTTGGGGCCGGGTTGACCAATTTTGAGGCCGGGTTGACTTGGGGCCGGGTTAACTTGGGGCCGGGTTGACTGTAATTCATAAATACAGGTTATTCGCATGAGACCTGCTTATCGATGGTGTCTGCAAAAACAACCATCTGACGGTCTCTGCAAGTCTGTAACGACTGTCAACCTGAGTAGATTATGAATATAAATTAACGGTCTCGTGCTAAAGACTTAACTGATTTGACTTTGGCAGTATACATATATTCAGCTTTCATCTTTCATACCTGCATGTAGAATTTTGTGTGTGACTTACGCATAATTGTACTTTGTAGTGCGTGAATGGGCATGCGGATAATTTTGTTGCCTAAAGTATAAATTGATACTTACTTACTGGCGTTCACAGTGTATAAATTGATGATTTGTGTATATTTTTTGACCAAAAATCATCATTTTAGGTATATTTACATAAAGGACAAACTTAAAGTATTGAATTTATAAAATTATGTAGAAATGGTTAGTAGTTACTATTTAAATTATAAATATTAACAAAAAAAGGAGCAAACTCGGATATGTCAAAGCCTAGAAAATGTGGTTGGATTA